TTGGTTTCAGATTATTGCCAAGTGAGATAAAGGAATATATATATATGTGTGTGTATATATATATATACGTGTATATATATATATATGTATATATATATATATATATTCCACCTTTTATTTGCCTGACTCTTCCCACTAAGGAATTCATCCTTGGTGATTCATCCTCCTATTCTATGCCTGGTGAGTGTGCATGTTGTTTGTTGGTCCCATGAAAAGATGCATGTAAATAAGATTTGATTCATTAAAATTCAACATGCATATAGTTTAATACCATATAGTCTTTAAAAAGTGTAATACTTCATGCAAATATGAATAGTAAGAACAAAGAAATTTCTCATCCCCAGCAGTTCCTGGTTTCGTGGCCTCAAGCAGAATATAGCCTCTCAGGCTATGAAAACAAAGTATGTGCACCTTCGATTTTTTTGCTAAGGTATTAAAAATGTATTGAAGGACATGGAAAATATTAACATTTTATAGTAATCATGACATGTAAAATAAAAAGTCTATTTTCTATTTCCAGCCCCCCAAATTAGGGGCAATTATAAAAAGTGGTAACCTCAAAGTGGAAGATGGTATAACAGAACTGCTTTTTGCTTTGTTCTGTACCTTTTCGAAAAGCAAAGCAAAATCCATCAACTTTTCACAAAACTTGTCCTATGGAGTCTACTGGACATTTACCCTAAAAAAATAATTCAAAAGATACAGAAAGCAATATAAATGAAGATTTTAGCTTTGACGTCTACGGTGAAAAACTAGAAACATGTAGATGTTCCATGAAAGGGAACTAGTTCAATAATTATAGGAGACCAACATGTTGAAATCTGAGTCAATTTAAAAATAATTTATAAAGACTGTATAAATTTGGAAGAATATAAAACTGTGTTTGCTAGGATTACAAATGTTGAAAATATGCATGTGTCCCTATTGGCAAGAAAGTGATATGCAGCATAAATGTAATCTCTAAGGATAAAATAATACATGCCAAACTACTAACAATCCTTTCTGCTGGAAAGGATTATGGTTGATTTTCTCTCTTCAATCCTCTCTATATTTTCCAAGTTCTGCTTTAAAAATTGTTGTTTTCAGCCAGAGTCTAAGGGACTCTATGAATGAGCCTTTTCTGCCTGGAAAAATAATGTATGATGATGATGCAGCATATTATGGGTTAGCATTGGCTTAACACTATTTTTTAAAATAAGATCAAATATTCTTCAAAAAAAAAAAAAAAGTAAGTAGACTGTATTCCCAGAAACTGGCCACTTCTCATAACATCTGTGGCTGCCACTCTGGTCTTGGTCTCTAGCCTGGATTATGCTGATAACTTTCACTTGCTCTTCTGTCATCTGTCTTGGGCCTGTTCTCATCACAGCAGTGAGACAGCCGATCTGAACACACGTATCAGGTGTGACTCCTCTGCCCAGCACCCTGCAGTGGCTCCCCATGTGACCCGGTGTGACAGAGGAGGTCTCCTCCCTCATCTCTAACAGGACGCTCTCTCCCTCTCTACAGCCACACTGGCTGCTGGCCTTTCATCTACCAGGACAGACTGCACCCCTCCTTGGGACCTTAGTGCACCCTCTGCTGGCGGCCCTCTTCCTCCAACACAGCCACACGCTAATCCCCTTCTCTTTTCCCATTTTCTACTGGGATCTTCCTTCACCATCCACATGAGATCTGTCCTCTGCCTCCCTCTTCCTACCCAGGCTCTGCAGACCCTTTGAGCCTGCTCATTTTTCCTTCTTCCAATCTATGTGTCCCCTTCTACTATTCTGTATATGTTATGTATATTATTTAGTCTGCCCCCTACTAAATATAACTTCCATGAGAGCAGGGATTTGGGGCCTGTTCTGTTCACTGATGAGTCTAATATGTTCCTGGCATATAGCTACTTAATATATATTTGTTAAAATAATGTGTTCACAGATGGTTTGAATACAATGAAGGCCTGCTGGGAGCTCCATTTAGAGGAAAAATACAAGTTGGGGTTGAGACCTGGGTGGAGGAAACCCCTTACCAAGTGTTCAAGAGTCCAGAGCCAGAGTCTTCTGGTCACAGAACACTTGAGTCTGGTCCAGTTGGATGGAGCATCCCAGGGTTGGATGGAGGTTGGAGTGGGGACAGTGATCTCCAGACCGTACTTCCTGCTGGAAGGGTGGTAAGTGCTACCATTCCCCCGGACTTGTAGCAGGTGACAGATCATGCCTGTAGCAGTGGGCCAGGGTGTGAGCAGACCCAGTCTGTCTCTGGGGGGCGTTCACCAACCAGAGTGGACCTGTGTTACCCATATTGCTCATCAGGGAGGACCAATGTCAGACAGGTTCAGTTCTCAGCTGGTCACAAAAGGAGCAAGATCCCACTGCACAGCTTCCCTTGTTGTAAAGAACAGGCAGTCATGAAAATTATGAAGCTAGGAGCTTCACCAGTTAACTCACTGGACTTTCCTAAGGAGCAATGCATCCCAAATCAGTTGCTGATTTGTATAAATGGAATGAAGGGTGGCAAGAAAAGAAGAGATGAAAGAGGGAGCTAGATAGACAATGTAGTATTTTGCTGGAACAAGGATGTTTTCATTAGCAGCCTCCATCAGCAATCATACCCTAGAGTAAGATGGTTGTCAGTTTTAACTTGATTTTTTCAGTTGTATCTCTTCTCAATTAGAGCAATTAATAGCTTTTTCTTTGCACACTTTGCAAACATTTTGTGCATTTCTTTATGAACATCACTGCTGATCAGTGTATTCCCCTGCAGGCTATGTGTTTTGTTACTGTTGTGTTTACCTGTTTTTGCAAAAACTGTCTACACTGGTGACATTGGTCAAGCAAAGTCCACTTGGGTAGGTTCCATCTTGTCAAACTGTACTTTTTTCTCCTAAGGAAAAAAGATTGTATGTCCAGAATCTGACCACCTCTCATGGCATCTATAGCAACTCTCCTACCCCGGCCACTATTATCTTTTGCCTGGCTACCATCTACTCCAGGAGTTGGTCTTTCAACTATTTCATCTTCTATCCTGGCTCCTACAGTCTACTCAACCCATTAGCCAGAGTACCCTTCTGAATAGAACAGGCTGCTTAATTTTACGCACCAGCATGCGTCACGTCAGTTGCTCAGCCTCATGCAATAGGATTTAAGTGTGTTCAGAACTGCCTCCAGAGGTTTGATCTTCTACATTAACTGTTCAGGACAGCTGCTGTCTCATGAACTGTTTGAGGGCAGAGGAACACAGAGGAATGTCAGAGAGGGCTGGGAGAAACTTTCTCATTTAATGATTTTTTTTTTTTTTTTGGTACTGGGGATTGAACTTGGATCCTTGTGCTTGGGCAGCAGGCAGGGAAACCACTGAGCTAAATCCCCAGCCCACTGGGAGAAACTTTCTAATCAGGAAAGGAAAATTGTATACGTCTTGTGTGGACCAAAAAAATCTCCAACAAGTTTTATTTTCCTAATGTGAGTTACTGTCTTACGTGTTGGGAGCTGAGTCACCAAAAGTCTACTCTACTTTGATTGCCAACTCCTCTGAAGTGGCTCTGATCTTTCCACTTCTGTGGAGGGATTGGTTGGTTCTGGCTTGGGGGTAAGGCTAAATAGACTAATGAACTTTTAACGTCACCGAGGTGTTTAGACTTAGACTTAAGAGAACAGTTGTTCTTGTTTAACTCTGAGACTGACATACAAACTAATGCCAACCAAAATACTCTAGTTTGGTTGTGATGCTGTTTAGGTGATAAAAAAGTAAATCCTCTTACAACATAAAAATTCTCATCTAAAATATGCCCCAAACTATAGGAAACCAAATATCCTTTCATCTCAACTTATTGTGAAGACCTTAATAAAATTTGTGTAGAGAAATTTCTTTGCCTTTGGAGCAAAGTGGCTTTGACTTTGGAAACCCATTTAAAGTGGCTTATAAGGGCATCAACTAAAGGGAAGCTTTGATCTTTGGTGCCTACTTTTGTGATGCTGGTGGCCTGTCCCTCATCTCCAAGATCGTTATTGGAATGGAATGCCTCTGGGCTAGGGAAATATGTTATGTGGGAGCTCTGGGGTCACTACTAGCCCATAGTCAACTTCACAGGCCATCTCTTCAGGACTGCCCTGGCCTGATGGCTGTTGGCTGAGTCCCCAGGTGCTTCCAGAGTGAGAACAGTTGTGTCAAAACCACCTGCCATCTGTTGGTACAAAATTTTTGGATTCTAAATGATGAATCACTTATAGCTCCTGCTGTTCTTTCTGCTGCCAAGATTAATTTACCTATTGGACTTTATCAGGAAATACATTGAGATAACTTGTCATGAAGCTTTGTCCTAAGCAAAGTTCATGTCCCTAATGAGCTATCTTCCCAGTGCCACCAATGGAAAAGGTAGGGGAAAGTTTCCTTTAGGGGAAGCAGGGAGAAGCCACAGTATGAGAAAATATGACCCTCACTCTGGGGTCTTTCTTTCATGTACACAGCTGTAGCCACTGGATTCAGTAGGTTTGAGAGACTAATAGTGGTTCTCCGGCCAACACTTTCTTATGAGGGCACCCATTCCTGTCAGCAAGTGTGGCACAGGGTAGGCCCTCAGTGACTGTAGGCTAAATGTATGACTAAGGTCTGTGACCACAAAATAGGTAAGGCTGCCTACCTAAGGCCACCAAGGTTAGAGGGTTGACCCACTTGAACTTGTTACTCCAGGGTGCCTAATTGGTAATGCCACATTCAGAGCCAAAAAGATCTCTAAATTCCAATATGGTTCTTGCCAACCCTCAAAATCAAGAGTAGTTTGAATGATGCTTAGGGGAAGCTCAATGCTAAGACAGAATCTGGAAGCAGGAGCTATAGGGTTTCTGTGGTGATATCTGCAATGCGTGTGGGGGGGAAGAGGACCTGGTTCTAATTGTAGAACAAGTGCTTTCCCAAGAAGAAAACTGAGTATCTCATTAACAAATCCCTCTGTCCACCAGTGTGCTGGACAAAGTCTCAGGTTATAGTACAAGATATGCTTCTGCACAGATTGCTTCACACAAATCAGTTTTTATTGTTACCAACATGATCTTTTGTCCAAAATCTGTTTATGATAAAATCTAGCCTTATTTACATATTCTAAAATGTTTCTGCTTCATGCCTCCCATGTTTTTAACACCCACAATTCTAAGCTACATAGCAGCAGCAAACCTCTCAGTGCAAGAGACTCTGACTCCTTCAACAGGCTTCATTTCACTCAAGTTTTCTAAAGCTTTCCTGTCCGGAGAAATTACCAAGTCATAGGTGGGTGAGATTTTATTCCTATCAGAGGTGGGTGTGATTTTATGGGAGTCTCTTCCCCCAGCCTGCTAGGGCAGAGGCAAAGTTACGTGTTTGTGTTCCAGTGGGAGATGAAATTCCTTTACTGTAGTTCCAGGCTCAAGCCACTCATCCCTTCTGCATGGTCAGGGACTGGAAGAGATGCCCAGCTGCATGGGCCTATCCAAGGCATAGCCAGCCTTACACTCCATGCTGATCTTTCCAATCAAAGCAGTGGCTGACCAAACAAGGATGTATTAAGAAATTTTGCAAATATTCAGAAATAACCTATTCTAGAGTGATATGGGTGGTATGGGGTGCAGTTGGGACAGGTGAACCTTTTTCAGAGAAAACCACGTGCTGGTAATTGCCACCACCAAGGGTCAGGGTTCTAGAATATTTCTAACCATTGGTCTTATCTATGCACAAGATGCCCTTGTTGCTAAGGTAGCAACATGTATGTGCTTCTAGAACTCCTAACTGCTGCCTTCTCTGCCTATCTAGGAGATGGGGGCATGTACCAGTGCCCAGGGCTTTGTGATGGCTGTGCTCTAGGGCAGGAGGGACAAGGTGCTCAGAAGGTCTGAATGTTGCTTACTCTGAATGATTTGGCCATAGAGGAATCCAGATGAGTTGTGAGAGAAATTTGGCAGATTTTGTACATTTCCACTTTAGAGTTGGAAAAATAAGATGCCACAGTCTTCAGGACAGCTGAGCTAAGGTGATGACATGCACACCATGCCAGTGAGCCAGCTCCATGGTCAAGGTCTCTCACTGGACAGCAAACACGCCCAGAGAAGTGCCCTCCTCCTCCTGCCCAGTATTTGAAATCACACCAAAGGGTGCGCAGTCACTGTGCAAAGAATCTCCTATGTCTGAAGTGGGTCAGTAACCAAAATAGGGGAATAAAATAAATTACTCACCCTCAGGCAGCCCAAGGGGCCCTTGTACAGACATATAGGTTTGTATATTTTGAAAACAAAAGATTCCTTTACAGACAAAAGTAAAAGAAATCAGATCAAACTGGCTTGTCTCAATTTTAGAAGAATTCTACACACAGAGAAGTGCTGCCAAAAGCCACAAACCTGGTCAGTGTCTAACAAAAATGTTCCACAGGCATATGAACAACCTACCTTTTAGTGCCAGGACTGCTTTAGAAAAATGTTTGGGGCTTTGTACTAGTGGGAGAACTATTCTTCCACTTGATGTCACCTCATGCAAACAGGAATCCCCAAGAGACTGTAGAGGGGCTGCTTCTGAAGGTAGGGTTAACAGCCTATTCCTTAAAGATACTTGCGAAAAATACAAATGCCAGCCAAATATTCTCTAAACCCTGGTTATTTACCAGACTAGAATCTTCTCTTGAAAGTATTTAATCCTAGTCAAATGCAGAAAGACAAACCATTGGCTTCCAGAATCAGAGTTCATCGTAAGGGCAGCAGGTGCTCCAGAAAGCACCAGTCTTGGAAGGCCCCAACACTGTAAGACGGAGAAGGCCTGGCTGCAGCTGTTTCAGGAAGAGCCTTGGTACCCACCTCTAGCCCTGGGGGTGACCTGAATGTAATGGCTGGGAGTCCTCCCAGTGCACTTGGCACACATGCAGGTATCTGGCCTCAGAGGACACTGTGTGGCGTCAAGGCCCAAGGGTCACAGCTGCACCAGGCTCACATGGCACTTGGAACTAGGCTGCCTGGGAGGCCTCAGCACCCAAGCATGATCCTTGCTCAGAGATCCAGGACTCCTGTTGGGTGCTGTGGACTCAGGGCCACCCTTCCCACTTTTCCTGTGTGATGCCCAACACCGACATATGGGGGATCCTGCACTCCTGCAGAGACTTGGTGAGATCAGAGAACCGTCTCCGGGGCACCTCCATTGTTTCAATGCTGCAGTGTCCATAGGTGGCTCTGTTCTTCTGCTCAGCCACGGCAACAACTGTTTGCAGGTCATCAGTTGGCCGGAAATGGCGGACAAACCTTTGGCCTGATGGTGACCTGACAGCGAGCAGCAGCCTTGGCTCTTGGTCTGATGGTTCCTCCAGGTTTCCAGCCCTGGAGGCACCCTGCCTCTTGGTTCGGAGGATGAATTTCCTCTCTAGGGTAGAAATTTGAGCTTGAGCTCTGGAATCTTCTCTGCTTGTCTTCATGGAGCAGGCCCCCTCTTGGTAGTAGGCCTGGGTGCTGCTCAGCTGTGGTGAGCTGGCCTTTTTAGCTGTGTCCACAGCTCCCTCCTCTAGGCTTCTTCTGTTGATGGAAGGAAGGACTGGGTATTTATTGAGAGAAGAGGAAGCCCCAATGGGCACTTGCTGCAGCAGCTCAGGGATCTCACCAGGGGTTCCCTGAGCTGCCAATGTGGGTGCACAGACTCCTAGTTTCTGGCTGCTTGGTGACTCACTGGAATTGGCTGGAGATGGACAGGAAAGCGTATGGTGATCGGACTCTTCTGTGCCCTGCGGTTTGGGGAGACGTGGCCTTGTCCGGCCCTTGGCGGACTTGGGCCTGATGACATGCATTTTAAGCGAGTCTGGCTGCCAAACGAAGCTGTCAGCTGCTGTGCTGGTGACAGTACTGTGTTCAGGTGGTGCTATATTCACATGGGCTTCTGTGGCCATTGCTTCTCAGGACCCCTAGGGAAACAGGAGAAAACAGACAAGGCATGGGTTAAATAAATTTCCTGAGGCAGCTGGGTCCATGCATCCACTCTCCAAATACCAAGAATAAGCACCAATGGGCCAGAGTCTGGGGCATTCTCCCTGGATTTCTGGCATCTGAAGAAGGACACCAGCTTCAATTCATTCATTCATTCATTCATTCGTTCATTCATTGTAGGGACTTAAGACTGTATTAGTGAGTCAAACTCCTTGCGGTTTAAATTATTGTAATGAGGGATGACTGGGGTTAGATTTACAAATAAATAGATATTTCAAAGATTTAAAATTGCTGTGACTAAAACAAAGTATTGTATCAGAGGGTAGCTAAGGTGAGAAACTAATTCTTATTCTTATGAGGAGGGGCCTTTAAGAGACCCCACTGAGAAGAAGGAACAGACTATGTGACAATCTAGAGCAGGGTCAGCCAAAGTTTTCCATAAATATCATCAGCTTTGGAGTCACATGGTCTGTTACAACTACTCAAGTCCCCACTACAGCACAAAACCAGCATGGGCAATACATTCAGCACAGGGGCTAGGGCTACTCTCCAGGACAACTTCATTTACAAAACCAAAGCATGGGCCACATTGGGCCCCAGGCCCACAGTTTGCCTGCCCTCCATCTAGAAAAGTGTCCAGGGAGGGAAGGGCATGGGTGAAGTCTTGGGGCAGGCAGAGTCTGGTGTACTCAGGGATTTGCTGGTTCCCAGACTGAGAAGCCTTCCCTCGGGGGTGTCTATACCATCCATGGATGCAGAGGCATAGTCAGGAGAGTTAGGGGTGCCTGCCTTTGCCCAGAGAGGGAAAGTCACACTGATAAGGCACTCAGCAGGGAAACCGGGCTCAGCTCCACTCAGGAGCAGTTATCTACTCCTGCACTCCCCTTGGGGAGCTCTCTCTCTCTCTCTCTTTTTTTTTCTGGTTACAGGAATGAATCAAACTCAGGGTCTTGAGCTGGCCAGGCAGGATCTGCAACTGCTGAGCTACATTCCCAGCCCTGTGGAGCTCTTTTAAAGAAGGGGCCGGCAGCCTGTCCTGGCATATTACTCAGAGCAGAAGAGCCACCCTCTGGGATCCTCATTTTCCCTTTGCGCCTCAGTCCTTCCTATTTCCTCTTACCCTATCTACCCAGAGTTTGCTCTTACTTCACTTTGCTTCTTACTGTCTTGTCATTCAACCTTGCCAGGTAGCTCTTCAGAAATCATTTAATATAATATCCCTCCCTAACTTGGTCATCAGGGACTGGGAAGATAGGAACAGGAAGGCTCTACTGCTGCTCCAGCCATCTGCCAGAACTCAAAAGGGAAGGCACTTGGATTCTACACGAGGGGTCAACAAATCTTTTCTGTAAAGAGCCAGAGTGGCTATTTGGGGCTTTGCAGACCACACAGTCTGTCATAACTAGCCAATTCTGCCTTCACAATGCAGCCATGGACAGTATGTAAATGAACTTATATGGCTGCATCCAATAAAACTTCATATAGGGACTCTGAAATGTGAATTTCACATAATTTCATGCATCACAAAATATTCTCCCAACAATTTAAAAATGTAAAAGCTATTCTTGGCTCACAAGCCACACAGTTTAACAGTTGACCAGCCAATTTTGGCCCATGGGCCATAGTTTGTCAAACCCCATCGTAAACCGACTCTAAGAGAAATCTGGGAACATGCTAATGCTACAGCTGCATGTAGCAGAAGACAGAGTGGTTTCCTAGTGGTCACCCAGCTAGCTGGTGACAGAGTCTGAGAGGGTGTCACAGAACCCAGGTCTTGGGACATTCAGTCCTGTGTCCTTTGCACTCAAAGGAGCTGCTTAAAGGACCAGTCTTGGTTATCTACCAGCACGTCACATTCTGTCTTTTGCTTTCTGGTTGTTTCTGTCTTCTAACAACCCTGTGAACACTCAAAGGGCCTCTGCACTGGGTCTCCCACCAAGGATGCTGGTTAAATCCAAATAGAAACAACCCACTACAACCTGGTAGAGCATGTCTCTGTGTAGACCCAGGACTACCAAGTCACATTGCCTCCTCTTTTATCACCATCTTGGTGACCGCCTCACTAACACCATTACTGCCACCTTCTTCTCCTGGTCCACAGTTACTTTCCCAGAACACTACAAACATCTTGTTGGACTCCCTTCCTTCTTCTGAATCCTGATCACCATGGTGATTACTGTTTTCTCTGCTCACAAGCTGACCACATCCCTCTCAGCCTTGTAAGACCTAGTAATTTCCTAGTACCTCCTGGTCCCTAGAAAGCATGTTTTGGTGTAAGGACAGAGGACCAGGAGTCACAGGACCCGAATTGTATTTCAGGCTTATAAGGCCACCACCCTACATAATTCTGTTATATAACTTTTCCCATTTATTAAATTAGCTATACAGTCCTGAAAATGCCTCTAAATTTCAGTCTCTTTGTCTAAAATACAAAACTAAGAACATGAAATAATGCAGGTCAAGGAAACACCAGACCTGGTACAGAGTACAGGCTTAATTAACCATTAAGTATTTTCTTTGATTCTGGTTGTGTGTCTATTTAGAATGCTCTGTTATTATAGGTCCAGTGTCTCACCTGTTGCTTTCAAGCTTGACCCCAGGTATCCGTGGTGGTCTTCCTCCCAGTCAGTACTAACCAGCAGGGAGTACACTAGGACCTATGCCTGGCCTGCCCACAGCATAGAAATGAAAGGAGGCTGATTTCAGTGAGCTACTATCTATGCAACTGCATCAAAAATGGGAAACAATTCCTGAGTCAATTCCTTCTCTTCCAATTCCACACCTTTACTTACCTCAAATTCACTTCTTCCAAGCTCCCTTCTTCACCCAATCCTGAACAATGTCATTCAAGCCCCTCTGATTTTCTGTTCTAACCTTTCCATCCTCAGCACATTTCCAGCTTGGGCTCATTGTAGGGAGCACCTTCTTTCTCACCACCAAAATGTGCTATCCCTATATATACACGATGTCCTGCTCTATTCCAAATGTTGGGCAAAGTTAGCCCCTCTTTCTTACTCTAAAGGCCTCTGTGTTTGCTCTGTTCCATTCACGGCTGGACCCTTTCTCCTTTCTCATTTTCCACTTCTAACTCATCTTTCACACCCAGTCTGGCTGCTGGTATTCAGGAGCCTTCTCCTTAGCAAAGTTTTGGCATCAAAATCACCTGCCCATCTCCTTGTTAATGTCTCAATTTTCAGATCAACTCTGAAGACGCTTTCCCTCTGAGTTCAGTTCTAAAGTCTCTCACTTGCAATGAGGAAGCTCTGCAACTGTACTCAGGATGGCATGAGAAGGCATTGCTGTCCAACTGCTGTGCCAGAGACAAGCTCGACTTCCCTCTCTACCCACCCTCCCACTGGGGAATGGCTATTAATTTGCCACAGTTTCTCCAGAATTATCACAGGCTTGGCTTCCACCACCCACACATGCCTCGGGAAGGCTTAACTGTCAGCAAGTTTGGTAACTTAGAAACCTCTTCCTTAACAACTTTGATGAGCAAAGTCATATGTTCTCACAGGCTCTGCTGGATTATTTTTAACAGTAAAACTTGAGTATGTGCATGCACTTGCTATACCTTTCGGAACTATATAATTAGCCATGTTCAGGGGGTGTCATATTCAAGACACCCTGGTCATAAGATAACATGACTGGGAGCTATCACAGAGAAAAACCTCAATTATGACTAATTCCCATAAGCCCACTCATGGTTATTTAGAGTCTAACACCTCCTTCAGGTAAAACCATTACAGCCAACCTGCTTTCGTAACCCACTGCCTCCTCCCAAGTGCAGGGACCATCTGTTACATGGAGGGAACACCAGCTCCCCTAGCATCGAGTGCAAGGGCAGAGGAGGTGGAGGAAACAGGTATCTGGGAATCTGGGCCAACTGTGCCTTTATATTCATTCCTCAGGCCCCAAACTCTGCCTGCCACCCTCGGTCCAGGCAGGCTTCTGTTGCAGCCGTCACTGTCGCTGCTTCGCTCATTTCACCACCTCTAGGCTTGGCAGGCACTCAACCACAAAGTGATTTGACAAGATCTAGGCGTGAGCATCCATCAAGCTGCCGGCTGAATAGGCAAGTGGCCTGTTTACTTAAACACAATAGCTGCACTGCAGAGGCCTCCTAGGAGCCAGGAAACAAACACTGGAGCGGCTTCCAAGAAGTTGCCAGAAGGGCAAGTGCCCACTCCTTAAGATTAATCACCAAATCAACTGGAAGGAAGGAAAATTTGATGAAAAAAGTTAAAGCAAGATTTCTGCTTTCCAGGGGTACCTGCAACCCACCACAGGGTCAGGCTATCCTATTTTACAACCCAAATCTAAACTTACAGTAAAAGCAATAAAATATAACCACCTACATACCGTCTGCTGGTATATAGCAAGATGCATACATACAAATTGGTCTTTTAAAACTGTTAATCAGTTAATACCACCTCCTGCCACCCCCACCTCCACCCAGCCAAGCTTTCAGGATAAAAATGCTTAGAAGAACCAACAGGAGATGGTAGTTGGCTGGAGAGTGGGAAAACTTTGCTACCATTCCCAGTTCTACCTCAGACTAATGATTAGAATGCACTGTCCTATGCATAGTGCCACTCTGAACCACAAGCCACTAAGTCATCAAAAAGGGTGGGGAGGTGGTGGGGTAACTTAAGCATGTCCAGGTTCTGGCAGCCCTGGAAGCAGACAAGCTTAAGGTGCAGAAGGAGGCATTTAGGGGAGGGCCAGAAAGAGCATCTAGAAAGTCAGAGTGGACTGGAATAAAAGGCCTAGGACTGGGGGAGGCTCTCTCCCGTTCTCCGTGTGACTGGGACGTCCTTTTCTCCCTCTGGGGCTAGTTGTGGACAGCCCGCCAAGAGGCCATGTCCCAGATGTTTCTTAGGACCTTCAGCGGCTGCAGAGCCTGAGACTTGTCCTATTTCAGCAAAGGCAACCTCTGGCAGGGCTTGCTCTGTGCCTTTGGAAGAGATATTTCTCCGAGGCCCCGCTCCAGTCTCCTGAGGCTTGTCCCTGGGGCCAGGTCTGGGGAAGCTGCGCGGGTGACATGCCAGGGTCTCAGGGGCTGGCCTCTCCCTGGCCCTCTGAGGACAGCGGGGACCGTGGGCAGGCCAGGGTTGGGCAGCCGGCCGCGCTCACCTCGCAGCAGCTCAGCTCCATCGGCCGCCAGCGGGGCGCCCCGGCTTGGTCCTGCTGGTAAACAGGCACGTCTCCAGGGCAACCGCCGGGGTGGGGGCCACGTGCTTCCGGTCTGACCGGAACCGGCCAGGCGGGTGCTGTAGGGGAGAGGCAAGCAGGGCAGGCCCTACTCTCTTGGAAGCGACAGCGTTCCAGGCTTTGGGCTCTCCTCCCTGCTGGCCTCCTCTTCCTTGCCTGGCCTGGACTCCCTCTGTATCTCATCTCATGGGGAGAGAACATCCAGGGGAAGGAGAGTTCTGGCCTGGGCTGGTAGGTGGAAGGGGGTGCAGCACCCTACCACCACCAGCCCCAAACCAAATTGTGACCTTGGGTCAGACTTGACCTTCTCAGTGCCCTCCTGTAAAATGAGTCTGTGGGACTGATTGAGTCCTGTGAACTCTGGAATCTGAGTGGCTGCTTCTAGGATGTCTGTTTAGAGATGTGGAACAGGACCACGTGTCCACTTGCCTGTCCTCATCACTGCCCTTTCAGTATCAGCTCCTTGACCTCCTTGCCATATGAGCCGCACACTCTGCAGCATCCTGAACCTTGTGATCAAGGGCAACCACATCTTTTTTGAGGGGCAAGCCCAGCCTCTAGCATTTCAACAGCTCTAGGCACATATGCAGTTGTTTTTTAAACATCTTCGAGACTTCTATTCCATTGCTCTTCTGGCTTTCTCCCTACCCTGGTCCATGGTCCACTGTTTCAGCCATTCTCTTGTCAGGAATCTTCCATTTTCTTGTCCTGCTTGCTGTCTTCCCATCCCTTTCATGTGATTAATCCTCAACCCCGATCCACCTGTGCCCAGGTAGTAAAGAAATACTGGCAGTCACACACTTTGATAATGGAAAGTATCAATTCCTCAGCCCTGCTGCAATCCTTCCACTTTCCCTCCTCAGTTCTCTCTCTTTTCCCCTCACTGGCTATTTCTAACCTTGTTCTCGCTCCTGAAACCTCCCACCTCTCCCCCTCCTTCCTCCCTCTTGGAAGATAATCTTGCTACCCTCTGCAAAGGAAAAGTAGAAGCCATCTTATGAACACTTTCTCAGTTGTCTGCCCTCAGACCTACAACCCTGCCTGCTTTTATTCCTTGCTTTCTTCTGCCTGCTGGAATGGGAAAGGGGCTGTCCTCTGACTCTATCCCAGGTTAAGTGTGCCACTATAGTGCCCTAAATAAAGCCCATTCCCTACCACATGGTACACATATACACACTCATTAGACTAGAGGCTTCTGTTCTTGCTGTCCCCTTGGCCTGGAAGATTCCTCCTCATCCTCTCCAGTCCCTCTCCCCTTCATCTACCTAACTCCCATTCATCCTTCATGTCCCCACCTAATGGTTGAAACCTCTCTTGCAAGTTGGAATTAAGATGGCTTCAGAAGGAGTCCCAACTGGATCACTTGTCTGCCAGGCTCTAAGTCCCTTGCAATAATTTAGAGACTATATTATTAGAAGATATATTACTAGACACCTAGGACCCATAGATGCATTATCTAGCATTGTGGCCAAATATTTGCTTTGGGTGTGTTCTGGATCTGTAGGATTTTGATATGAGTATGACTCTGGGCCTTCTTCAAGTCATTCAAAATTTGAGAAAACACATATGTGCACTGATGAAGAGTTCTGAATCAGATTCTTTTCAATACAGTTTGAGTCAAGGGTAGAAAAGTGGGCTGGATGCGATTATATGGGAAGTGATGGGCATAGCCATCAAATTCTTTTGAGGTGGGGAAGAGGGGATCATTTCGGTAGATGTGCTTCTGACCGTCTCAGAGAGGATGCTGCTAACCATGAGAGTTGCTGGTGAGAGCTCTGACTGGGCCAACCTCTTGTTAAAGATGCCTTCTGCCCTCCTCCCCCCATTTAGGAGGCATCATGGCCCTAGGAAGGTGCAAGAGATGCTGTTTTAGGAGTTGATGGTTTTGCAGCTCTGAGCTGGTGGCTTATTTTTTGTTAATGATTCTGTCAGAAATATCTAAGTGATGCTCTTCAGCCCTTCAGCACCCACTCAGAAAAGATTAAATAGATTCTTCATCAGCTATTTTAACATCACCTAAGAATTATGCAATTCTTTTGAGAATCGAATTGGCTTCTCACCCCCTGTGCATGTGTGCATGCGTGTGTGCCCTGGCTGGTGGAATGAAGTGGTGATTATGACTATGGCCTGATTCATGTTCAGCAGTACATGCCTTTTGCTCCCTAGGATCATGAAATATATGGGCCCAGGGAGAGGCTGGAGGTAAAGAAAGGAAGCCAGTCAGTCCATGGCCATGATTTTGCTATCTTCTGAGCTTCTTTAAAGAGGGTGCCCTCAGGGCTGGTGGTATAGCTCAATGGTAGAGCACTTGCTTAGCATATATGAGGCCCTAAGTTCCATCTCCAGCACCAGAAAAAAAAAAGGTGTAATGCTTAGTCTCTGACACATACACACAAAATAGATTCTTAGTAATCATGGACAGAGATCAGTGCCTTGCATGCTTAAATGTGGACATTTCTTCCTTTCCAGTCATACCTCACTGTTCTCATCAGCTGTCTCCTGGGCTACAGTCACCTTGTTCTGCAAATAGGGCTTCAGTTTTTCAGTTTGTTCATCTCCATTTTCTGTGCTCACGCCCGCCCCACCTTTCTCTCTTCCTTGAAATGGACCCAAACCACCAGATCCTTCAAATCCCTTCTTCTTCTTTTTTTTTTTTTTTTTTTTGGTACTGGGGATTGAACTCTGGTCCTTGCCCTTGCGCAGCAGGCAGTGAAACCACTGAGCTAAATCCCCAGCCCCTTCAAATCCCTTCTTAAAAGTCATGTCTTTCATGAAGCCTTTTCCTAACCACCCAGTGTCTTGTGCTCTTTCTACTTTCTGTCTAGTCCAATGGAACAAGCCCAAAATGGTGCCATCCACCCCTACTAGGTCAGCTCCTCTGATATCTGGGACACTCCACCACTAAGCACCATTGGCCTCTTCAACCTTAAAAAGCAACTGTTCTCAGGACCTTCAGCTGATGAGCTGCAGAGCAGGTCTGGAACTGACATCCAAAACTTCGGCTGGTTCCAAAGCCCACCCTCTATCCAGAACCCTGCCCTCACCGTGTTGCCATTGGCACTTTATCTTGAACCGCCTATTGAGCTGGTCATTGGATTTGCAGAATGACCTCAAAGATGGAGTTTCAATCCTGGCTCCATCACTTCCCAGCTGAGAACCTTGGGCAACTGACTTGTCATCTCTGAACCTCAGTTTTCATATCTATAAAACAGAAATGTGAAGGATAGGATTGCTTTGAGAGTGAAATGAGATAATACAGGTAAGGATCTTAGCACAGTGCCTGCCACGTGGAAGTGCTTGGTGAGGGTTAACAATCTTTATATTATTTTCATCTTACTGTGGAGCTCTCCTTTAAGTGCTTCTGAGCTCAGCAAGAGCAGGAACTTGCCTGCCTCTGAATCCCCTGCTTTGCTCACAGAATGCCTGCTTTGTGGTAGGTGCTTAGTAAATGAGAATTAAATTAATAATGACGGTGTGCTGATTTAGAGAGACTGGCTTTTTTAGAGAAACTCAGCAAGCTGCCAGTTATTACTCACCCAGGATAACTGGCTTGGGGTCTACATTAACTTCCTCAGACTTCCCTCAGGGCTGGCTGAAGGCAGGAGCTCCAGTTTCTTAGCAGTTTGTCTCCAAAGAGCATTTGACCCAATTTTGCACTAGTACATCTAGATTTCTGAGTCTCTATACACTATACACCAGTGTTTTGCTCTGCTGGTCCTTGATCTCATTAGAGCTCTGGATTGAGATCATGGATAACCTTTAAGCAGAAGGTAAACAAGGTGGCTAGTTAGTAATGAGGCCAAGAGGCTGGTATGGTTAGTCATGTCTCCTGGTGAATCAGCTTCTTGAGGGGACCTGCAAGAAGCAAGTTTCTGGATAATGAAATTTATTTACCCCCTGAGATACTATAGCATTTTATTATTTCTCCCATATTATTGGAAAATATCCAAAAATGTGTTGCCTATTTTCCAGTCTTGTTAAGAAGAATGTGTCAAACACTGTCACTCATCTTGGCCATGTTGAGCAAGTGGTTTCACCTTCAGGAGCTTTCTGAAGCTTGCTGGTCCTCTGGGGAGGGGGGCACAGATCTAGGGGGACCTGAGGACCAGGGAGCTCACATTGTTTGGAGAGGAAATGGTGGAATAGCTCCAGCTTCTTCTTTGATATAGAATCTTTGACATAGATCTGACACAGAATCTTCTTTGACATAGAATCCAAGTTAATTGCTCTCTCTCTTCCTGTCTCTTGTACAATTCAACCTTTTCTGGTAACTCAAAGCCAGTAATTGTGCTCCAGCTGCAATATTGTTGATGTGGGTCAAGCCATCTGCCCCTACGTTTAGTGGCCCCATCTTCCTTAGCTTTGATGGTTATCAGTTTAATCATTCCTCCCTGGCTTTCCTACTAAGAAAAGCCACTCTTAACTCCACTGCTTCTCAACTGCTGGGCTGAGGAACTTGTTAGAACTACGTGTAAAATAAGAACGTTGTATTTACTGAGCTTCTTGGGTCATTTTGGGTGTTGTCTTCTCAGCTGTATTTCAAGTTTGCATAGCTCTTGGTCTGATGATCCAACTAAGCAGGAGAACTGCCAAGTGATAAAAAATGCCAGCCTTGGCATTAGGCACACCTGGAGACCTATAAGTTTGCAGAACAAATTACCTACCCTCTTCTGGCTTCAATTACCCTCATTGATAAACTGGGATTGATAATATATGCCTCATCAGGGGGATTCAAGGACATAATCCAATGCAGTGCCTAGCCCCATGTTGATACTCAATAGATGGTAGGTATTGCTTTTATTTCTGTAACTTGAAGTATAAGACTCTGTTCATTTATTTATTTATTCCTCAAGAATTCATGTACTGCCTATCTCTCCATGCCTTATTTCCTTATCTGCAAAATGAGGACAATAATAGTACTTATCTAGCTGAAGGTGTGAGGATTTAGTAAGTACAGTATATGTAAAGTGCTCAGAAGCTGTGCAGGGTAACTAAGTGCAATTCATATGTTGTCCATCATCATCGATAGTGCTTAGTTGTGCCAAGCACAGTGCCAGGTGGGCACTGGGGATAAACAGGAGGACAAAATGGACATGACCTTTGTCTTCATGGAGCTTACATGTTCTTTCTGCCTTACTTTCTTCATGGGGAGAAAAGCCAGTGCATGTTTCACTACTTCCATAAAAGATGAATTGATAGGTCTGGCAAACAACCCAGTGTGTGGCTCAAGCCCTCCACTTGCTGGCTGCTGCTCCAGGAGTTGACATGAGAGCCCATGCCCTCATTAAGTCTCTGGCCTTCTGGCCCAGTGCTCTTAGCTTTGTTTTGGTATGATCCTCAGGGTCCCAAGTCAAATGGAGAGAACCAAACGAGTTGTGCCTGAGGGGTACCCATAAAGGTCAGTGTGTGAAAATACCCTGAGACTGACAGAAGCCCATGTGGATAAGAGAGGATAGGCAGGGATCCTGTGAGGGGGAGGAAGCCCTGGATTTGGAGTTAGAGACCAGAGGGCAAGTCCTGGTGCTGCCACTCAGTGGCAGGTCACTTTTCCTCTCTGAGCCTTGGTTTCCTTGACTGTCAAGTGGGATAGTGATAGTAACTACCTGGTAGGGTTGCAGTGAGGAAGAAATGGGAGCAGAACATAAATTTAAGGGAATTCAGGCCTCCTCAAAAATCATCTCTTTTAAGATGCTTTCTGTGACCCACCCAGGAGAGTGCACTGGTCCTACCTCTGAGCACAGAGGCATTTATTTATACAACTGCTAGACAGTGCTCATCACTCCACATGGGCTAAGATTGGGCTCCCTGGAAACAAGTTCTGAGACAGAGAAATTCATTGCTTGGGAGACTCTCAGGAGATATGGTTACTGAGAACTGAACAAGGCAAGACTGGGGAGAAGCTGGCACATGGAGAAGCTGGTACACGGGCAAGCTCAGAGGAAGGAAGTGACAGACGGAAGCAGTGGCTGCAGTCTTGGCCAATCCTCCAGGGAGTTCTAGGGTGGCATGCCCTCTCGAAGCTGTTCTGAAAAAGTCAAGGGACAACCTAGTTTAAACCATCACCTAGCCAGGCACTGACTAGAGACAGCGCCTCTCCTCCTCCCCAGGAAGGGCCATCACCCTGGGCCACCTGGTTCCCTGCAATGGCAAACAGTTCCCAGTGAGTGAGATGTTGGGTGAGGCCATCTCCAAGAGACCACGAAGTATTCCAGAAACAATGGAGAAGCAAACCTAGAATTTCGGCCCACATAGGGCTTTTGGTCTACATTTGCCTATTTGGTATCTGAGGCTAGCTTGGCAGCCTTGCTTGGGCCAGAAACTTCTCATGGTCAGAGCACACAGTTGGTGCTTAATAAGAGCCTGTCAGATTTCATTACCAGTCCTGCACTCAAGCCCTTCTTTTGTCTCTTTAAAGTGTCATCACTTGCTTGTTTGAAAGGTGTAAGCTCCTTCTTTGTAGACCAAACCTGCACATGCTTATTTTTTCAGACTCAAAAGAGAAAAAGGAAGCAAGCCTGTGGAGATAGAACATAATTAAAAAACAATTTTGCACAGCAACTGAAATGAAGGTTGCCCAGGATTTGACCGGGTCAGGGCCCAGCCTCACAGCATCCACCAGAATTTTGCCAAAGAGGGCAAAAATAGGAAAGGCATCTGGCGAACTCCCAAGACTCTGCAGCAGGACAGTCACTTTGAAGTTTTCCTGGGAGGTGCTGCCACTGGGTAAAAATCTAACTGCAGCTCTGCACCTGCCAAATTCTCCAGGCTCAACTGAGCTATTATTCATGCTCCAAGTTCTGATGGTGTCTGACTTTATGATGGGCCCACACAGACCCCTTGGGGTGACAGAAAGCTATGGCCTAATCACAGGGCAACTCCGCACTGGGGGCAGAAGCCTGAGTTCTCCTCCACCGTCCCTTGGAAAATGTGCCAAGTATGAGTGTTGTCACCACTGCTAATGGTAATGAGAATGCTGTGTTTACCTGTTATTGCAATTTAACGTGCAAAACAGTTTTATTTTCATGATTCCATCTGGTCCCCACAACAAGTCTGTGGAGCAGACGGCTTCCTGACTGAGGAATTCATTCAACCTCTCAGGACCTCCATTACCCCTCTCTAAAGTGATAATCGAAACTCTTAAGTTGTTGTGAGAATTGTGTGATGTAATACCTGTGAAGCCCTCAAAGTTTCTTAATAAAGGTTTGACATTACTCATAGGGATTTTCAGTCTCACTTTACAGAACAGGAACCTGAGCTTCAGAGAGGCTGATTTTTTTTACTAAAATATCAGGGTAGCAAAGAAAGAAAACACTGAGTGGTGAAGCAAAGAGAAGAAGGGTTTCTGAAGCTGGAGCTCCGTTATGAACAGTGTGTGTGTGCCATTTAAACTTGAGAACAGAAGGACTACTGACTCCTCCCAAGGGAAAAAAAAATAGTCAAAGGGATAGTGTTGCCAAAGAAAGAAAGAAAAAACCCACAACACTTGCACTTTTCAAACAATTGAGCCCTTCTTATTTTTTTCTGTTTAGGTCTAAATAGCAGGAAGGGTATCATGTTCAGAGATAATCAGCTTGGAAGATCTCTCTGAGCCCTCCACTGAAGGCTTCCAAAGGCCTGCGGAGCAGATGGGATTTTGTGTCCAAATGGCCTTGTCCCATTTCAGTCACTTCCTCCTCAAACAGAAGTTCAGCTGTAGACAAAGGCAGGACCCTGGTGCCCAGGACTCCCCAGGCTCCTCTGGAGTGAAGGTCATCGCCATTCTCATTGTCTTTGTCTCCTGCAGTAAGTAGTGAGCCAGCTGGGAGGGTGCCAGGATGCTGTCTTCCTGTCTGCGTCACTGGGGTGGCCCCTCCTGAGGTGGCATCAAGTGAGGGAAAACTCACAAGTCACTCAGAAAGCAAGCAAGAGTGGAACAGTCTCCCACCTAAGTTCTCCTGCTTCTGTCTCTGCTCTCAGATTCTAGGGATTTCTTGGACATAGAAGGTTGCCAACCACCTACTAAGAAGACTTTAGGTACGATTTACTGCTCCCTGCCCCAGGAGGATTTTTTCCTTTGGTTGTCTTCATCTAAACTCATGTGGATTCTAGCACAAAACTGTAGACATGCATCTTTAATGACTAATTGTTATCAGAATAATTAATTCTTAGAAGATAGTCATTGTTACAGTGACTTATGGGATGACTGGTCATTCTCAGTCATTGTTCCCAGAAATCAGACTGCAGACCTCTGCAATGTGAGCAAGAGCTTATGGCGAAACCATTTTGGTTCTGTTGGAAAACTCATATACTTTTGCTGAATAAACTGAATAAGTATTTATCCAAATCCATTTTTCTCTCTCTCTCTCTTTTTTTTCTGGTACCAGAGATCGAACTCGGGTCCTTGCGCTTGCACAGCAGGCGGTGAAACCACTGAGCTAAATCCCTGGCCCTTTTCTTCTTTTTTTCAAATTCATTTTTTGCCTGTCTGTTGCAGCTATGTAGCAGTAACTTTTGGCTCCCTAAATAACAAATGTCAAAACCAACTTTCCATCCTTCCCTTAGTCCGTGGTGGAATTTGTAGTTTTGAAGAGTATGGTGCAGTGAGGGCCACTTCTGTAGCCCCACGGTGTGGTCCTGCCTTCTCTTCATGACCTCCTTTCCCCCAGAAGCTCTTCTTGACAACAAGGCATCTAACATAGCAATGAGACAGCAAAGTGCCTGAGAAGATTCCCCCAAACTCTGTCTTTATTTTTGTTTTTATAGTTCATTTATTTACTGTATTGCCATTGCAAAACTAGTATACACTTGTAATTAGAAAGTCAAATAAATGAGTATGTAGTAACAAGATAGAGCCCCTCCTCATCCTTCCCAGAGCCCAAGCCTTTTCTACACCCAAATGGGACCACTCTTAAGCGTTTGGTATACATTCTTCTAGGCCTTCACACACGCGCGCGTGCACAGACACACACACACACACACACACACACCAGTGTAATAGAGAAGTTAATGTACATTCATCAAAAAACTCAAACAGCATAGAAGTATATAAGGTATGTTGTCTGTTTCTTTATCTATCCCCTGGACCCCATCTCCCAGTGATATTGCTATTAAAGGTAGTGTCTTGTTCTTATCCTCAGTTGGCAGATGTGTGGGTGGTTTTCCAATGTTCTGTTACCACAAATAATGCCACAACAAACATCCTTTTTATATATCCTTTTATATATCCTTGTGCCCACTTTTGTAAGCATTTTATAAAAGTAAAAATTGCTGGGTTCACATGAATTTGCCATTTTAAAAACTAGATCGATGGTGTCTTTCCTACCTCTTAGTGTTCTGTTTCTCCCGTGAGACGTAAATGCCTGTAAAACCCACAGGAACTGGCATTTCTGGCTGTGAACTTTTCCCATTCGTGCTGCATGAGACCTGAGGGACTTTCTGCCCAGGATGGTGGTTTTTGTTTTTAAGAGAAAGACCCTGGTGGCCAGTAGACCCTTGTCCTTAGTGTCAGGGAAACTGGGTGCTCATCCTGGGTTTGCAAGAGCCTGTGTTAGGGGTAAATCTAGACCCATTTTCTTTCTCACGAAAGAGGCTGATAACCCAGCCAGGCCAGGCCTGTGTTTCAGGGCTCTGGAGATGAACTCAGCACAATACACCCTGGTGAGGGCCTGGCAAGGTAGGGTCACACTCACCACAACTCCTCTTGTTCCTTGTTTTTCATTGGCAGTGACGACCCCCACCCTCAGCAGCTTCTGGCAGTTCCAGAGGATGGTCAAGCATGTCACAGGGCGGAGTGCCTTCTTCTCTTATTATGGCTATGGCTGCTACTGTGGGCTTGGAGGCAAAGGGGTCCCTGTGGACGACACTGACAGGTGTGTGCAGAGGGCCTGAGGCTGCCACCACTCGATTTGCCCTGAAGTCCATGCCTGAAGCTAGAGAGAGGCTATTAGGGTTTAGTGGAAACCATGTGAAGCCACTGTGAGAAAGACTGAATGGGAGTCGTAGGGTGTGTCTTAACTCCCACCCTAGAGAGGGGCCAGGCCAACTCCCAAATGTGTGACCTTTGAGGTTACACAGGGCTCACACTCCTCAGGGCCTCCATGAGGTTTATTCTCTGCTGCCGCCTTCTTGAATTCTTAATAAGGGGCCCTTCGTTCTCTTTTGCTCTGGACCCTGCATTTTATGGAGTTAGTCCTGCCCAGAGTTCTAGAAACCTTTTCATACTTACCTGGCAAATGTACTCTTCTCTCCGCATCCCAGTTTTTAGTGTTACAGGTGTAGCAAGTCTGCCCTGCTGGCTCCCAGCCTCAATTCCACATTCCAGGAGAGAGAATCCAAGTGGCCTAGTTTAGAAAAGTTGCCCATCTGCGTGAGGGCATGTGGCACAAACCTGGCTTCCAGGCCTATTCCTAAGGATGGGGTTGGGGAGTGGGGGTGCCTACAAAAAGTGGATTTGGGGATACCTTGTGTGTCATTTCATTTGAGGAAATAAGAAGGCAAAATGTTCTTTCTGCATTTGACCTAGCAGGGATAAGTGTCCCCATGGAGCCTAAAATATCACTACTAGAGTTTGAGTTCCTTGGGCTTGTTTGAGGAACCATGAAATGTTCCAGCTGGCAGAACTCCAGAGCCCTGGCAGGGCATCCACACATGTGAAATGCCCATCATGTGCCAAACACTGGGGCAGGTGATTACATGGGGGCCTAGCTTCATCCTTCCAGTGAACGTGGGAGGCAATGTCACCACCCCATTGTACAGGTGAGGATAGTGAGGATCTCAGACCGAGAGTCACTAAGCCAGCTGTGCCCATGCATACGTCTCCTAAGGGACAGAACCAGAATTTGATGAGAATCTCCAAGTCCAAACCCTTTCCTTGATGATCTGTACCTCCCCTCTCTGCTTCCAAAGGTGGATTTGAAACTTAAGACTGTTCGCCAAAGCTGATAAAGGGTCAAGAGCTGGCTTGCAGGTGGGAATGGTAAGAGAGAGAGAGATGCAAGTCTTTTTCTGGGCATGTGTGGGTCTTGGAATCCAATCCGGTATTTCTGCATGTCTGCTGCTGGCTCAGTGTTTGAGGCAAAAGGCTGAGGCTACCCCCAGTTATTTTCTCCCCTCAGGTGCCCTGCCACTTAGCCTCCAGCCAGCTGGGACAGCAAAGCTTGCACCTGTTCTTGCTGACAGCTGTCTCCTTAGAGACTGTGACAGTGCCTGGCACGTAGAAGGTGTTCAGTAAAAACGGTTCAATGGACGAATGAGTCCCAGGGACCTGGACTTGAGAGCTGGGTCTATCATTTTCCAGCTGTATAATTTTGGGAAATTGACCTCTCTGAATCTCCTTTCCTCTCTTACAAAATTGGGACAATGGCTTACTTTGTAAGATGGCGGCGTAGTATGGAAAGCAGTAGGTACTAGATGTCATTGGTTATTTTTATTATTTTAACTATTACAGTCAGCTCTCTGTACCCACAGGCTCTGCATCTTGGATCTTACCAACCTCAGATGAAAAATATTCTTTAAAAAAATAGCATCTGTACTGATCATGTACAAGCTTTTTTTTCTTGGCACCATTCCCTAAAAAAATATATCATAACAAGTATTTACAATGTATTTTAAGTACGACAAAGCTAGAGATGCTTTGAAGTGTATGGGAAGATAGGTTATATGCAAACACCAAGGGACCTGAGCGAAGATGTTGATATCCATGGGGGTCCTACCACCCACCTGCCTTGGATGCTGAGGGACGGCTATATCAGCAATCACCTCCCCTGCACCAGTGCCTTCTTGCTCAGGGGGGAGGCAGGGGAGTTCTTTCCGGTTCCCACCTAAGCGCTTCCAGCAATTACCCCCCCCCCCCCGACACACACACAACCATAGCCCTTCATCTCCCCTCCTCTGGCCTCCGGATGCTGCCAGGCCCATGACTGCTGCTACAAGAAGCTGAAGGAGCTTGGCTGCCAGCCCTTGTTGAACAACTACCAGTTCCACATCATCAATGGGACTGTGGTCTGTGAGTAGTTTTCTCTGAAGCAAAATGTCTTTGAATCTTGGTCTTTCTTTAACCTCCTCAATGATCCAGTGAACTGTTAGGAAATGAGATTTCCTCAAGTGCTTTGAGATGGAAAAGGGCAATTCCAAATTGCCAAGAACCAGGGCTTCTTGGAGAGTGCTTGCTTTTTCTTGTCCTGGTCTCTCTTACCCACAAGCTTATCTCCAGGACCCTGTGGGAATCCAGAGCCTGGTATATAGTACCTGCTCAATAAAGAGTTCTTGCCTGGAGATCATATAAACTTTGCAGCTTCCCTTGGCAACTGTTGCTGTTTAGAACATTCTTCCTTATTTCTGTCATGTGCTAACAAAGCAGCCCAGCTGTCTTTCAGTTGAACAAATATTTGTTAAAGGGGACAGCATGCCATGAAGTGTGATCAATGCCTTGAGGGACACAAAAGAAACTAGGAGGGAAACAGGAAGGGATCTTGCAGGGTATGGAGGCCACTCACGGAGGGAATGAGCCAGTGTGGACAAGTACAGTGTGGACAAGTACAGTGTGGACAAGCATCATCCCATGGGGAGTGGCCCTGGGATCCTAGAGTGGGTCCTGGGATTGGCAGGTATTGGCATGTGCAGGGCAAGTGTGGTCTAAAGATAAAATGTGCTGGAAGACTCAGCGTCATGGCATTTTGTGAGTCCCACCTACCTCAGTGTAGCCGGTGATTTGGTGGGCAGCTCACCTCCTGCCTGGCCTTGTGGAGTAGCCTGAGTCCTTTTCCTGCCAGGTGTGTCACTCAGAGTGGCGAGTGTCTTTGGGAGCTCATCTGTCTCCTCAGAGTGCAGGGGACCAGCGGCTCATCCCCACTCAGCCCCCAGGTGGGAGACACATCCCCCCACTCCCATACTGGATGCTCAGTGCTCAGACCCAGATCCCACAGGGGCCCCACTCAGTGTACCCCAAGGCCCAGAGTTTGGACTGTAGGGTCTTCCCAGTGTCAAGTGTAAGCCCTGAAACATGGTAGGCTGGAGCTCAGACCCCTGCGGTGGAAGACCAGGTTCTGCTCAGATGGCCGCTCCTCTGCACAGCCCCTGCTCCCAAGTGGACTCTTGACAGGAAACCTCCTGCCACTTATGGGCTCAGGGAGATGTTCTGAGTTGGAATTCTGTGTCCATGATCAACCTCAAGCCTAAAGCACAATGTCCCTTCTGTGACATCCCCATGGCCACATCCAGAGGAAGAGAAGGCATCAGGACCTGGTGGGTAGGGCAGGACCAAGGGGGCTAGAGAAGGTGGCCCACAATATTGTCTGCTTCAACACAACCATGATGCCTCCTGAAGCCAGGAGCGAGTTTCTGATTCCACCTCTCTGCCCTAAATAGGGAAGTGGTGGTGGTGGGTGTGTGGTTGTTGGCTGGTGAGGGAGGAGCACACAACTGAGGTGATCATTCCCAACCTGGCTCGCAGTCTTGCTTTTGCACAGCTTCCTCATGCCTTTCTTCATTTTGGTCTGACCATCTGTCACATCAAGTGTCATCCAGGCTTCACTTTGGAGAAGAATGCTTAAGAGCGCCCTCCTCTGATGCTTCCATGAAGTGCTGGGATCAGGGAGAAGGGGAAGGTGGACTCTGGGCAGTGGAGAGAGCCTTACTGGGGGTGGACCTGCTTCCACCCTGGCTCCTGCAAGCTGGCTGTTCACAGAGGCTGGGAGAGGCTTGGCCAGCGAGAGTCCTGGCCTGTGGCTTCCACACTTGCAGCCCCTGAGGCTGCTCTGGGCACTAGCATGGGAGGAGGCTTCTGCTTTGGCGTGACAGCACCCCCTTCTGGTGAGAGCCAGGTAATCAGGGTTCTGCTGCTGGAATCTGGTTGGCTGCTGCTGTGGGCTGAACCAACCCCATCTGTCACCAGCTCAGTGCTGACTGAATGCCCACTGGGTGCCTGTCCAGTGTGAGCCCCAGGCTGGGGGCCAGGCACAGAGCAACGCTGGCCTAACCTCTCTCTCTTGCCATTCATGGTCTTATGGAATGGAAAGACCCCTTGGATGGAAAGCACCCTTGGGGACCATCCGGACCAACCCCTCATCACAGCCCAGACATGTGAGGAGTTTGACCCAAGTAATAGGCAGGAGTAAGACACATGGGTCTTGAGCCTTTCCAGAGCCCTGGAACTTCCTGCTTGGCCTGATTGTCTAGGCCTTGGTTTTCTCATCCATGAAACAGGTGCAAGAGCATGGCAGCTTCTGTGCATCTGTGATAGACACTTTGCACACAGCACCTTGAACTCCCATGATAGACTTCTGAGGTGAACCTTATTCTTCCCATTATCAAGGAGGGCACTGAGGCTCAGAGAGGTTAAGTGAGGTGGCCAAAGTCACACAGCTAGGGAAAGAAGAGTTGGGATTCAGACCCAGGTGGCCTTACCTTCCATCATGCTGCGCTGTGGATGGTGACAGGCAGGTGTGTGATGGCAAGGCTGCCTCACAGATGAAAGTCCCAGGGTCTGCAGTGAACTGTCCTGTAGTCAGAATGCTCTGTCTTGGCCCAGAGAGGGGAAAGAGGGGCAGATGGAGTTTGGTCTTCTCTAATGTCCTAGAAATTTCCTTTCCAGCTAAGAGGTCTCAGTCAGGCAGAGCTGGGCCTGACCCCAGCTTTGACTCTCCCAGCCAAGCCTTAGCCTCCCCATCTGTAAAATAGGGTCAGTCACATGCACCTCACAAGGTTGCTGGGAGGACTGAGCACAGTGACCTGCTAAAGGATCTGGCCCATAGCAGATGCTCAGTGAGTGCCTTCTGTTTGATCATGGAGTGTTCTTGTTTTGTCCAGGTTTTATTTCTTCTCTCTTTTGTGGGAAAGCTCTACACTTCTGTTTGGTTTGTTTTCTCTTTACTGTGCAGAGGTTTCAGTGAAGTCTGCTGTGCACTTGCCTCCCTTTGGGCTAAGGTCATTAATGTGACCCTTACGGGATAAGACCTCTTCTCTCACCACTGATCACACCTCAGTTCAAAGAGCTGCCCCTGTAAGGGTTAATCACCTCCCTGAGCTCTGAAATCCTGCACCCAAGCCTGGCCCCAGGTTGCCTAGCAACAGGCAGCTGGTGGGGAGAGATGTGGTAGGTGAGCAGGGGAGGGGAAGGAAGAAAACAACTTGGTCTGTCCATGTTTCTAAATGGCACTGGAAGATTAGTGCAAGGAAAGGTCTTTAACAGCCAGGAGCAAATTAGCTTGGAGGAGGGGAGAGCTGCCCTCCCGAGGTCTACAGGGTGGCTATCCCTCTTTTGAGTGAGTTATATAAGCACTTGGCATTTGCAAGGACTTTAAGATCACCCAGCAGTGACACCCCCTTCTGCCCACGCATACATACATGTGTTATGTGGGGAGGAGACAAGCCGTGGGAGTCAGGGACCAGTTCCAGCCACTTGGACCACCGTCACCTCCATCTCCAGGCCTCTGATACCTCCCTCTGCCAGCGGGGGAAGGTGGAAGTCATAATTACTGGAAGTTTAGTTTGCAAAGATCTTTCTCATTTACTGTAAAAGACTCTGCACAGCAGATTCCACTGACTGACGCATTATTCTTTCTGTGCTAGCGTTCATCTCTGCCTGAGATGAATCTTGTTCCTTCTTTGTTTACTTATGCATTGAACCCTCCACCCCCCAGCAGACCAGAATGCAAGTTCCCAGGGCAGGGGGCAAGCCTGTCTGGTTTGGGGTGCACTCGTGCTCACAGAGCCCACAGAGAATGATGGCCCCGGACTTGTGCAACCTGGAAGTGTACTTGCTTGTACCTGAACCCCAGTGTCTTGCCAAACCAGGCACACAGTAGGAACTGGGTTCCTGTTTGTTTAATGAGCCAGTGAATGAAAAGAACCCATAAACAAATAGTGCAGGTATCTTTGTCCTAATTGAAAGCTGAGGAAACGAGTAGAGAGGAGAAGCGACTTGCCTAAGGACAGAAGCTACCGATCTGGAGCTAGAATGTGGCTTCCTGGTGTCTGGGGTGGTCTCCTTTCATTGGTCCTTCAGCCAAGTAAGCTCAGCCAGTTGAGACCATCAGTGACTGGTGACGAACTGGTGTTAGGGTCTAGAGACTGGCAGTGGGAAAGACACAACGTGGTCTCTGGCTTGAAGGAGCTCATGTTGCAGGGAGAGTGAGAGACAGGTTCAGAGAGGGACAAGTACTCTGAAGCTGCTCAAGCAAGGTGACAGGCTGGGGAATGGCCAGGCTGGGCAGGAAAGGGTGCTGATTTTATGCAGCTAGGGAAAAGCCTCATGAAGGAGGACTGGTGACCCCAGGGCCAGTGTGGCAGGAGCATGGAGCTTTGGGAAGAAGGAGAGGTGCCGTTGGGCGGTACCCAGCTTGGATGAGATGCTCACTTCTGCTTCAGTGGTAGGGGAGCCATTGGTGTATGTCCTGAAGGGGCATGGGGTGCTCTGACTCTGCTCTAGAGAGATCACGCTGGCTGCTGTCCGGAGCGAGAGGGGAGCGAGGAGGAAAGTGGAGGCCCCACTAGGAAGGTATTTTTCAAGCACTGGGGAAGAGTAATCATAGCTTGAACCAGGGCAGTGGCAGAAGGGCCAAGGAGAAGTGTTAGATGGTGGGCGTCCTTTGGTCGAAGAGTTACCAGGACCTGAGGTGTGAAGGACAAAGAGGCTGACTTGAGGCTCTTGACCTGAGCTGTCATAGAGGTGCCATCTACCAAGCTTGTGAAGGTGGGCGAGGAGCAGACTGACAGCTTGCTCTCCAGTGTGGCAGTGTTAAACTGTGGTGGGACCTTTAAGAGGCAGGGCCTGGTGGGAGGTCGTTAGGTCATGGGGAAGCTGCCTGTGAAGGAAGAGACTGTTGCAGTGCTCCCAGGTGCTCTGCTCATTAGTTCCCATGAGAGGGCTGTTACTAAACAGGAAGCCTGGCTTCTCCCCAGCCTCTCTGGCAGGCCTTAACCCTCTGTGGGGATGGATGCCCTGCTCCAGGTGCTGCTCTGGGAGGGACAGGGGTGTGCTGGGGGCAGCTTGGGGACCAGCTCAGAGCCAAGTCCCTGGGGAGCTGGGGCTTCATGGGTGCAGATGGATTCTCACAGATGGAGAAGGAAGAGTGGAAGGGCAAAGGTGGTCTAGATATCAGGATGAGGGGGAGAAGCATGAATGTTCCTGGCACAATCTTGAAGGTGAGTGGCAAGGGGCAGCTGAGGCATGGGGCGGTGTTGTCGGCCTCAAGAAATCACATTTCCAGACAGGAGTGGGAGGACAGCTCCAGCAGGAGTGTGGGCTTCGGAGAGGGAGGATGGCAGATAAACGGGTGCACTCAGTGCTGGACCAGGGGAGAGGCACTGCTTTGCCCATAGGTGGAGCCAGGGCATCTTTCTGTGCCAGCAGGGCCAGGCCTCTGCTGAGTGCTCTCCAGATGGGAACAGCCACCCAGCGAGCCCACCACCATCCCAGGAAGGAGGTGTGCTGCTCATTTTTGACCCTGCTGTTTCCACCACCACCTTGTAGAGGCAGACAGCAATGATGTCCTAGGTCACAAACCAGGGCCTCTGGTGGCCTCCTTCCTCCTCTCAAGTGTACAAAGAGAGTGGAACTGGGGGAGAGCTATGTAGAAGGGGAAGCTGTGCCTTAGACCACTCCTGCACATGGAAATAAGCAAGGAGTACACTGTGAGAATGGCTTCAGATCAGATAGCGGGGGACAGCTTCCCCGACAAGGTGGAGTTTGACCAGGACTCAAAGTGTAGGATGAATCCTGCCACTGGAAGGTCCTGAGGAGTTTTCAAAGAAAAAAATAACATGGGGGAAAGCCCTGGGACAAGACAGAGCAAAACATACAAGCGAAAACTGGCCAGTGTGCCTGGAGCACAGTGAAGATGGGAGGGTGGAGGTTCTACGGGGAGTACTGGGGAGGGTCAAGTCATAGTAAGTGTGCCCTGTGGGCCACCACAAGAGTTGGGGGCATCTTCCCTGAGCAGTGGGAAACCATGGGGCAGTAAGCAGGAGAGGCGACATTGCAAGCCTGCCCCTGCTTATTCCTTTCCATGAAGGAGGAAGGGCCTGTGATGACAGGGATTTGGGTAGTAGCAGGGACAATGGAGAAAAGAAAGCAGAGCATGAAAATCCACAGAAGTAGTCGAGGGCAGATGTGGAAAGTGAAGAGAGGGGGAGGAAACGAGGTAGGTCCCTAGGTTTCTTTCTCAAGCCAGGGTCAGTGCCGTTACTGAGTGTGGAGGAAGGACAGGCATGGCTGGTGGAGGGGTCCCTGGTGTATCTGCGCAGGATGAGGAGCAGGCAGCTGGAAACATGAAACGAGCTCTAGGCCCTTGGCCCCGTGGTGCTCAGGTGCAGTGATTCGGCACCCTCCACGCAGCCCACCCTCCCCACCCGCTCTGGCTTCCTTCTCGGCTTCTCCTCTCCGCAGCACGGTGGATGCCCGGATGTGACGAGGAAGGGGCTGACGATGAAGGTGAAGGACTCCTGGCTTCTTTCCTTCCTATCCTCAGCCATTGGCCCCTGCAGCTCCCTGATCTCCCCAACCTTACAGCTGAGCCCTAGGATGAGAAGGGGCCCTCAATGACCCTGTGTGTCTCTGCAGGTTGGAGGCCTGCGAGTGTGACAAGAGATCCGTGTAATGCTTCAAAGAGAGCCTGGCCACCTATGAGAAAAACTTCAAGCAGCTCTTCTCCAGCCGGCCGCAGTGCAGCGGACATAAGCACCAGTGCTAGGGAGGCCACTGCCTCTCGATGCTCACTTTTCCAGGAAGCCACCTCCAGCTGTCCCTGATGGGCTCCCGTTCTTGTAGCTTCCCCTTCAACATTGCCACCACCTCAGGTGCACCCCTTGCTCCACATCTGAGGCCTAGAGCTCAGAAACGGAGAAGCACTCATGCTCTGCGGAGGGAGACAGAACACAAATATCTGCTAAATAAATGATACTTTCCACACTAAGTGCTAGGAAGCAATAGAACAAAGCAATGGGGTTGAGAGACGCCCTCAACCACCCTTCCAGGAAGATTCTAGTATGAGAGAAGCCCCTGGATCTACCCCAAACTCTCCTCCTCTCCCACCCCAAATCAAGATTTGGAACAGACTTGGGAGCCCGGCCCATGACACAGATCTGGCTGGGAACAAAGTAGAGATCTGAGAGACACTCTTGGAGTTTGGCACTTATTTGCTCAAAGTCTGCCCTCTAAACCCACAGGTAGGAAAACATTGATGGTGATTTCATGTCACAGGAGATAGGGCACCACAAGGAAATTAGCACCCACCACTGCCATGTGGCCTTCCTGGCTGGTGCTGCACTCATCAGTGGATTCATCTGTTGATGGGTTCAGGAGCTGATCCTGCTGTTAGGAGGTGGGGCCTGGTTGGAGCTGGGTCACTGGGTTGTGAACTGGAAGGGCTTGTTCTGTTCTGGGCTCCTCCCTTCTCCTGCTTCCTGGCTGCCATGGGTTGAATACCTCTCCTCCACTATGCCCTTCCACATGTGTGTCTGCCAACTTTGGACTGAACCCACTAGAAACCATGAGCCAAATAAATCTCTCTTCCCTTTAAACTGTGGGTGTCGGGTATTTTGTCCCAGCTATGAGAAAGTGACTGATACATGGTCTAATATGGGTGGATTCTGATTCTTACAGTGCCCAACCGGAACAGGAAGTTGCCAACCTGGCACAATTGTTCTTGCCTCTCAGCACATTCCTCTTTCACATTGTAATGCTCAGCTTTTGCTGTCGAGGGGTAGGGTCTCCTGTTCTACCCCTTCAATCTGAACTGGCATATGACTTGCTCTACTCAGTGGAACATAGTGGGAATGATGGTCCGCTGGTTCCAGGCCTCAGTCTTGGAGACACAGAACAGTCCCCTAGGTTATCTACCTCCACCTGGAGAAAGCCTGGGTCCACCTGGAGAAAGCCTGGGTCCACCTGGAGAAAGCCTGGGTCCACCTGTGGATAAACAGAGCCCACCTGGACCAGCATCATAGGCTTAATTGTCTCAGGTGAGACTTTGGCCAAGACCATCAAAGGCAATTTGTGGCTGGCCACAAAGACGTGAGAAAACCTAGTAGCAACAAAGGTGACTGACCACCCAGTTGAGCCCAGATGAACTGGCTACACACAGAACTGTGAGCTACCTAAAGGATGCTGTTCTAAGCCATGATGTTTTGGTGTAGCTCCTTATGTGCCAATAACTAATGGATGTCCCTGGTCTCAGATTACAGAGACACTTGGGTTCTCAGCACTGTCCTGGACATGAACGTCATTGAAATGTTGCGACATGGCCCCTGCTCTTTCCCTGGTAGGCATGAGGGGAAGGGTCGGACTTGTGTAAGGATGGAGAACACATGGAGGGCTGTATTCAGTCAGTGGGTCACCCAGCACACATTTACTGAGCATTTGCTGTGTGCTAGAAACAGTGGTGGGAAGCAGGGATCCAGTGACTTTAAAAAAACACACAGAGTCAGGTCTGAAAATTCTAGGGAGAATATGCTGAGGGCAAGACATACACAAAATAGAGTCCAGACATAAAATAGAGTCCTGACATAAAATTTGCATTGAGAAAGCAAGAGGTGTGAAGACAGAAAGGGAAGCAAGAAAGGGACAGTTGCAGAAGGTCTAGGAACCAGGGCTCATGGCTTCTTGCTCAGCCTGCAGTTGCCAGTAAACTGGTCTACCCTCCGTCCTCCACCTGCATGTGTTTACAAAGAGCAGCGGCAGAAGGGATGCTGGAGGCCTGTGAGCACCAGGGAGGGTCTGAGTGATCTGGGGGAAAGATGAGTATGGAACCAGGGTGAGCAGGCTGAACCAGCTGCACCTCACCACCTGGAGGGTCCTGATCACAGTCAGGGCCAGCCCTGTTCTGGGAAGGTATCTGGCTGACAGCCATGGTGGAAGAAGAGAGGCCAGGCTGAGGCTCAGTGTGGGGAATGAGAGCTTCAGTGTGAGATCCAGGACGTCCCTTCCATTCCCAGGGCCTGGCTCCTGGTCTGGTAGTGGAAGGGATAGGTCTTGGTATTATATGAGCCCTGTTGTAGTATGCCCTGCCTCTGAGCTGGGGCTGTCCAGGGATGACCTTGATGCTCCCTGGGAAATCTCACAGTCCTCAGAGGGAAGGGTTTTATATGTATTGAGGATCAACTCCAAGCCAGGCCCTGTGCTAGGGGCAGAGAGGTAAAGGCACATCATACTCCAAGGGGGTGACACAACAAAACATGATTGCAGAGCATGCTCGGAAATGCTGGGATTGGGGTCAGCTTGGGAGCTCTGACCACTGTCCAGGGAGACTTACTCAAGGAATGCTGCAAAAGGGGGAGGAATTAGGAGGACCAAGTGGGAGTGGGCAGCACATCCCAGATAGAGGGGTTGAAGAGAATTCAACAAAGGAAAACACACGCTCCTCATCCACCTGCCTCCTGCATTGCAGCTGAGGGTCCTTTCTCCAACTTGGCCCCTCTAGGACAAGAATCAGGCTGCCATCTTCTTCTTAAATCCCCTGCCCACATTCAAGCTGTTGGCATAACCTTCCCAAGACATCTAGATTCTGAAGTTTTATAGAACTTTAGTCAAGTGTTTATGTGGAAAAAAATAAAAGGGAACGTTTTAGAATCTGGCCAAATCCTACCACATTCACTGTCTCCCGCCATCTTGGGGTCAGACTGCCATTGCCTGTGCCTGGGTTACTGCAACTGCTCCTAATCACTCTCTCTGCATCCACCTCACCCCTCAGTCTTCTCCACATAGCAGGCCAACAGGATGACTGGGTCTATCCATTTCACCCCTATGCCCATGTGCCAATGGCTTCCCCAGCCCCTCATCTTTTCAAAGCTACCTACTTCCTACTGCCCTGGCCTTTCTTGTCCTCTCTGGCTTTCCCTTAAGTTTTTTCTACCCCATCCAATGTGCTGCACACTCACCTATAGTCCTTTTTGTGGCCTGTCTGCCCCACCAGAATAGACAATCATGAGGCAAGGATCTTTATTCTTTGAAAAAAAAATCTCTGATATATTTATGGAGTGACTAGAGGTCAAGAGAACATAAAGAAGGTGAGGGAAATAGCTGAGTAGGAAACAGCTGCCTATGAAGGGCAGCAGAGGAGAGTAGTGTTTAGAGCCAGCAAAAGAGATGAGGGGTTGGGCCGTGGATTTAGCTCAGTGGTGCCATTTCCTGCCTCGAAAGTGTAAGATCCTGAGTTCGATCCCCGGTACCAGAAAAAAAAAAAAAAAAAAGATGAGGGTCAGGGCTAGAACAAGAAGAGCTTGTGGTCACTCAGAAATCTGGCCTGAACCCTGGGAGCAGCTGTCTGCAGTGTTCCGGGCATCCCACCACTCTCCCCACTTATGACCTTGGGCAGCCCGACCTCCTGGAACTTCAGGGTCCTCAGGAGCAAGGTGGAGCCTGAAACCATGTGCAGGCTGTGCCCTGTGGGAGTGAGGACTCCTGCTGTTAGCTCCCTCCACTACATGCACTGCTCTTAGAGGCTTTGAAAACAAATGTGTTTTTACAGCAACTCTCTTTAGATTTTACCCGTGTTTCTTGAGGTCTGGATGAAGCTGTCAGATGTCAGGGTGGTGGAGTGGTGATCTCTCCATGGCGGGCTTGTTTGGGGTTCGGTGTCTCACCCAGGAGTGGCTGTTGCTCTTTGTGGCTGGCTCTGTGTGTGGGAGCTGAAGGAGGCAGACTTGCTAGTCTCCATTCCCATGCCAGGGTATCTGAAAAGTCAGGAAGGGGATGACAGCTGTTGGGGAGTGGGGCCTCCAGCCCTGCAGGGGGACAGCCAGCTGGTGAGAAGTGGGCGACTGGGTTTGTGGGTCACTAACTGTGTGGACTGGTGGCTCAGGCCATGGGCCAAGCATTATGGCGGTGTGACCCAGCCCCTGAGAGCCTGAGCTGGGGAGCGGGGAGTCCAGATGTGCTCTCCAAGCTTTGGTAGTTGGAAGAGACAGACTCCAGGTACATGGAACACCTGATCACCAGTCCACGGACAGGTGCCACTGAAATCCCAATCCACTAAGACTTGATGCGGTGAAGGGCTTGCCCGGGCCACACAGCTAGCACACTGCAGAGCAAGTGTTTGAACCCAGTGCCATCCGACTTTCCCTTTGGGCTCCTCTTTGCAAGTTTGTTCCAGAAGAAACCCAGAACAGGAGAGACCCAGGAGAGGGAGAACTAGGAGGCTGCCCCAGGGTTCAGCACTGCAAGAGGGAGCCTCGATTCTGGTTCTGGCCGGTGCTGGGGCCGGACAGGGCTGGTGCAGCTGGAGAGAAGGACCAATCTCCTGTGAAGACAGCTGTGGTGAGAAGGATCTCACACAAGCTTCCTCTTCTCTCTGGGCCTCAGCTTTCTCATTGCAGTGAACACTGATATTCGCGTACTGGTCCCCCTTCCGAGGGTGCTTTCCGGCCCATTGTCATATTGACCATTAGAGGTATCTCAGGCATCATTTATGCCCATTTTCCCTGATGAAAATGGAGAGCCAGTGAGGACTAGGGCTTTGTGACAAGTGGCCCACTAGTGTGTGGTGGGCTGCAAGGCAAAGCCCATCTTCTGATTCTGAATCTCTCGACTCCTTGCTTGGGAGTAGGATGTTGAACCAGAATCTTTCTAAGGTTAAGACTTAGGAGTTGGATTCAAATCCTGAATGACCTTGAGAAATAGACTTAACGTCTCTGGGCCTTAGTGTCTTCATTTTATAAACAAAGTTATGAATAGCCCCCACTTCAGAGGGCTGCTAGGAGGATGCCATGAGATGACATACACAAAGCTCTGAGCACAGTGTAGGACATACACATGCTCAATTCATCCTGCTTTCTTTTTCCTCTTGGCCCTGAAATCCTGGGATCCCAGACCCCTGCCCAGGCAGGATGTCCCAGCAGGTTGGCCATTGTCAGCACCATATATTGCCTTTTTCTCCATCTCTCTACCTGTCTATCTCTCTGCATCTATCTATCTATCTTGCTGTACACACCTGCCTCCTGGTGCTGGAAGCCTTGGTGCTTTTCCTCCAGAACTTTATTTGTCGTAGTTGGTGGCATTATCTGCATGTTAGAAAGGCACAGTTGGGGGAGCCGAGGGCAGTGTGGCTGTGGCAGCCTCTGGGGCGGAAAAGGCTGCCTCTCCACAGTCACGGTCAAGGCTGGGCAGAGGTGGCTTCAGGATGCCGTTGAGGATCGGCTCAGGTAGTGCGCCAGGAGCCCAGCTATGGCTTGGGGACAATAAGCGCCCTCAGAACCTGCTTTCTCTGTCCCTCCTCTCCTCCTCCTCCTCCTCCTCCTCCTCCTCCTCTTCCTTCTCCTGTTCCTCATCTTTCCCCCTCACACCCACGTACAGGAAGCCAAGTTTCTTGCTAAGCTGCAGCTTTGATTCTGCCAAGTTTCTGTTTTGGGGAGAAGGTCACAGGGATCCACTCCCACCAACAGCTCCTCTTGCCTGCTCCTATTGGCCAGCCCGACCCTGAGGCCCTTCAGCCCCGCGCCTGAGCCAGTCCCCATCTCTGACTTAAAGCTTCTGTCCTCCATGCCAGGGACATTCTCATCCCTGACCTCACTCAATCCCCAGACCTCTCATATGCACCTCAGTATTAACCACACTGTACAGAAGGTGGTAAACTGAGGCTCGGGGGGAGCTGTGACTTGCCCAGGGCCACACAGCCTGTGTGTGAGTAGCTGAGCTTCGAGTGCCACCCAGTCTGCTCGGTGCTTCAAGGCCTGCTCTTTGTGAGAGCTGTTGGTGGTAATAACAAGATGGTAGAGGTGATGCTGATGATTTCCTTGTTTCTGCTGGGCATTGTCTGCCTGGGGCAGGGTCTTTTCAGAGCCCAGGGTTAAGGTGTGGAGCGTAGCACTGGTGGTGACCTCTAATGTCCACTAGGTGTCGCCCAAATTCTAGAAAAGAATTGGTTTTAAAAAGGAAGGTTCCAAAGCTATGAAGAGGGGAAAAAGAAGAAAGGATGAGTCTCTAGGGAAGTGAAGAACAGGGATGGACCTAGCTCAGGGAAGGATGGGAGCCCCAGGCCAGCGAGGAGCAAGGACAGCCCCTTCCTTAATCCTCAGTGTGGAAAACCTCACCAACTGGGAAAGAATGACCAGAAGGAAGTTCTAGGAAGGAAACCCTCAGACTGTAGGAGCCAGGAGCCTCCCCGAAGAATGTGACCCCTGCTTCTCCCACACCCTCAGGGAGACCGAAGATACCACCCCAGCCCTACTCTGATCACCTCCGGGGCACCTTGGGGACCACCACATGGACTTGGGGTGTCTGTCTGTGCTCTCCACACCGTGCAGTGCCATGGGAAGGTCGTGAGCTCCGAGTCCATCTCCCCTTCCAGCCCACTGCCTCTCACCACCCCCTTTCCTCCTCACTGTCATTACACCTGCAACCCTTCAGGCCAGAGGCGTGGTCCCAGGTCACGGACAGGACAAGGGATAACAGCTGCAGAGAGAAAGGAGACTGGCTGCCATCCAGGACCTTAGTGACTCTTTCTTGGGGCCCAGCTGCCTGTCATCATTAGGGAGGCACAGGGAGGGTGGTTTCAAGTCAGACACTTGGGATTCAGAGCCCAGCTTAAGGCCTGTAGGGCTTTGGGCCAGCTCCTTTCCTTCCCCGAGCCTCAGTTGTTCAGCATAAAAGAGAGCCCTGTAGAGATGGACACCTGGGAAGCCCACAGCCTGGCCTTGTTATCATTGTCCCATGGTGGGACCACAGGCCTGATGCCCTTGGCCTTGGCGCCCCTTTCTAGCCTTTGCCTCTTTTTTCTGGAGCAGGGCAGCTTCACCCCCTGGCAGGGGCTGGGAGGGGCCAGATATGCCAGAGCACCTGCCTTTCCCAGCTCTGATGACCTTGGAGTGATTGATCCCTGTGCCCTCCAGACCCTGGCCAAGGAAGGCCCAGAGCGTGAATTGAGGCAAAAGGCCTTTATTAATTTGAGGAGGGGGTGCCAAGTCCTGTGGAGATTCTCAGGGGCTGCAGCATCTGGGAGATCTGGGGTGGGGAAAGGGGGGAGGGACCCCATAGCTGCAGTCTCCTCCCTTATCAGGTGTGGACCTTCAGAAGAGGAAGCTTTGCCCAGGCGGACAGTCCATGGCCCTGGGGCCACAGGAGGCTGGAGTATCCTGTTCATCCCACCCTGTCCTGGCTCAGAGGGAGAAGGAGGAGGCTTGCTGGGCAGACTCCTGAGAGGGCAGATGAGAGATCCTGTGACTGGGCAGGTCGGGTCACAACACAGCTGGAGGAACTGGCCCTGGAAGGGCCCCTCCTAGTCACAGTGACTCCTCAGTCCCAGGGCTGCTGTTCTAGGAGCTTCTGCATGGCATGGGGAGGCTTCTGGCACGTTCTGCTGTCTTTGCCGATGTCTCTCCCTGCTTCCACCTCCGTCTGGGTTTGGCTCTCTTCCCCAGTGACAGTGGCCCATGGGATACCGCCTGAGCAGACCGAACTTCCTGGCAGCTCTTCTCAGTGTCCAGGCAGGGGGTAGCTTCTCTGGGTCCTCGGGATGGACACAGATGAAGGCAGAAGAAGATGGGAGACAGGGTTGGCTGTGTGGCATCCCTGACTCCACGTGGAAGTCGAGGCCAGCCAGGGACAGAGACCTGGAGAAACAGCACTGGGGACAATGGGGCAGGCGAGCTGTGGAGCCAGGTCCCTCACCTCTGCCGGCACCCCAGGTGCCTCCATCCTGCACTGTGCCTTTTCTGCCCACTTCCCTCTTAACCACATTGCCCTCTCTCTACTGGCTTCTGCAAAGGTCCTCCAGCCTCCTGCCCTGACCCTTTTCCTTTTCCTTTTCCCTTTTTGTTCCTCTTCACTGAGTGGGTCTCACCCTCAGCCTATTCTCATGGACAGGATTGCAGACTCCTGGCCTCTCCCTGCACTGCAGAGGGTCAGTGTCCTCTGTCCTGGCCTGGCTGCTTCAGTGCAGCTAGGAGGGCTGGCCCTGCCACTCTCTGTGCTGGGGGGTGCTTAGGGTGCTCCTCAGAGCAGTATGTGGGCAGGGCAGGGTGCATCTCTTGTGTGCATGGGTCAGAGGTCAGGGAGAAGAGCTGTGCATATTGGGGTGTATTCCATCCACCCCCACCCTAGTTCTGTGTACTCAGGCCAGTGTCACTGGCACAGGGACTTGGTGCCCAGGAGCCTGCACAGAAGCTCTTGGACTTCAGGACTGGGACATCTGTTTGGTGCTGGGGTGGGAGTGCTGAGCCACCTCCATGACGGTGGGGGAGCAGCCACCTGCTCTGTTAATAGGCTCTAATGTGCCAAAAGCCCCTGAGGGAGAGATGTACCATCCTGAGCCAGGTTTCCTGGTGGCCTGAAGAGGCTAGGTCTCAAAGACTTTGGAATCGGGCTGGGACCAGCAATGGAGCCCATTCTTCCTTCTCAGGTCTTGCCTTCCACACTCTGGAGAGACCCCAACAAGCCATGTGCTTCCTACCAAGGCCAGAACTAGCGGTAGGAGGAAGGCCCCACTCCAGGGCTGAGCTGGAAGAGCTGGTAGGGTCTCTGTAGGACTCTGGGGAGGGGGCAGCAGGGCAGCACTGGGCTCAGACCTGGCCCACCTGCATATGCTCCATCCATCTGGTACCCCAGCCAGACCCTCCTCCCTCTTGGCTCTCTGACCTCAGAGGTGCTGGGGCAGGGCAGGAGCTGCTGAGGAGCCATATCCACAGGTGACCTCCTCTGGGGGTGGGTCATAGATGCTACAGTTGGGCATGGGGCCCTTGCAGTAGATGTTGAGGTAGCCACGGTACTCCTCCCTGTATACCCGGTTCTTGAGGCACAGAGCCACGCTTTTGTCACACTCGCATGTCTGCTTATCACACTCTGTCTTGTTGAGCTCACCTGGGGATGGGAAGGGTGCAAGGCTTTGACCGATGGGGCAGCAGCCACACCAGGATGCAGGGGGATGGGGGCCCAGACCTTGAGAGCCTAGGGGCCCTCAGAATGTGGCCCTATCCCAGGCTGTGGGGCTAGCTGCTCCAGATGGGGTCCCTCAGTTTGTTGTAACAAATCCTGCAGTGGCTCTAGTGCAGGCTAAAATTGAGAAACCACTGAAGTCCAACATAGGCATTGTATAGTTGCACAGAGGCCTGGAAAGGGGAAGGTTTATCTAAGTCACCCAGAAAACCAAAGTTCCACCTCTGCCAATAACTTTACTCTTTCTCTTCTCCCAGGCCTCCCCACTTCAGTCCCAGGGTCAAAACCCTCCACCCTGGAGGGAGGGATTGAGTGGCAGAAAGTAGTACTTCTACTAATTTGTACTTGTGCTTATTAGTTCTAATACCAAATGCTTGCTTGTGCTAATTCTTAATTTTATGCTAATGCTAATTTTAGACTGACATTTAATTTTTAGTGTCAGCTTGTCCCATGCAATATTTGGAACACACTTATACCAAATATTTTTCATTGTTTGCCTGAAATCCCAATGCAATGGGGCACAACACAGGGTGAGACGAGTGTTGAGGGGGTGACTCACTGCAGACAATCACAGTGTCATTCTCGATCACATAGTCATAGTGGTCCACATAGGGGCGGCAGCCCTGGTCAAAGAGCTTCTGGTAGCAGCAGTCGTGGGCATGACAGCACCTGGGAGTGGGCAGGGGTGAGCAGGCAGGTGTAGCCAGCTGGTCTATCCCTCCTCCCAGCAGAGAGCTCAGATCATCTGTCCTGTCCCTCACGGGTCAGACCTTTAGACTGTAGCCCAGAGAGGGGCAGTTGCTCGCCTGAGGTCACACAGCCAAACACAGCTGGGACTGGTGTCCTGGGATCTTGTCCTTACTATCACCTCATCATCCTATCCTCAGAGTCCCTACCTTCCCCAGCTGGAGCCTAGCATACAGCTGCTGGGGTATGGGGTGCATTAGGGGGTGCAGAAATGAGGTCAGAGTGGGAGGCAGGGCTTGGGTTCTGTATGGAGAGGCTCCACCTGGCTATGCCTGGTGTCCAGGGAGGGATATGGTCTGGAAGGTCAGTGGGCATTACCAGGAGTGGGGACGGGCAGTAGGTGCAGAGTGGCTGTCCCTGTCACCTCTAGAGGAGTGAAGTCAATGGTTAGCATGCATTTATTAAGTCCCCAGTGATGCCAGACTCGGTACTGACTATTGTAATGGGAGTAGAAGCCGTGGCGTGGAGAGCTTCCAGGCTGGCAGAGAAAGCACAACCCTGCCCTCCAGAGTATTCAGTCCAATGGAGCAAGTGTCATGGTCCTCACCTTTTAGAGATCAGCTGTGTGACTGTTGCTCCTTTATGCATTTGAGGACCCATCAAAGGTTCCATGCACTTCTATGCCCGAGACTTTGGAGGAGGAAAACAGAAAGCCTCCAAGCCAGGTGGGGAAGACATGGTCAAAAGTCAAGATCCTCACCGCTAACATTAAATAGGCCCTGTCCTTTGGGAGAGGGCTTCCTTTGTCCTCACAAACATGGAGGCCAACATGGACCTTCAGCTGTCCCCCTGATCCACGACAAGAGCCCAGAGCACCAGCACCTACCAGTCCACTTCATCCTTGGGCTGGCCGCGTCCCCCCAGCCCACAGTAGCAGCCGTAGCCCACGAAGGACAGGATGGCACCTCTGCCCGTGATGGCCTCCACCATGGACTTGAGGTTGAACAGGCTGCCATGGGCAGTAGACAGAACTGCAAGGGAACCGAACGGTTGTGTAAGCCCTACCCACAACTGTCCTCCCCCTGCCCAGGGCCAGGGGAAAGGGCAGGAAAGGGGGAAAGCAGGAGAGGGAGGGTAGTGGCAGAGAGCAAAAGAGAGAGGAAATCTGTAAGGTCTCAAAGATGATGCATTACCAACATCCTGCATTACACCTTATTTTCCTGAGGAACCAGCATGTTCATTCCAGCTGAGAGCACGTTCCAGGCACTGTGCTGAACTCTTCCATACACCACTCTTGGAGTGCTCACTGCAGCTCTACAAGTAGTCATCTCATTTTACAGACAGGGAGACTGAGGCTGGAGCGATTTTTAACTTGCCCAAGGTCAAGTTGTCAAAGAGCAGTGGAGACAGAATCAGGACCCAGGCAGTGAGGATTCCTCACCCACATCCTGTACCACTTGGCTGTACAAATGCTCCTCTGCTTATGATGGCACATCCTGATAAACCCACCATGCTAGTCTATGTATCACTAGCCTGGGGAAATATACTAATTCAAAATTCAAAATATGGTGTCTAATGAATGTGTGTTATTTTTCACCATCATAAAGTCAAAAAACCATTCAAGTCAAGCCATCATGAGCTGGGGGCCATCTGAACACGGTCCCTAAAGAGGGGCTGCCCACATGCCTCACACACTGGAGGGGCTTTGCAAATACCTCATGTGGTTAGAAGCTAAAGTGTCCTTACACTCCTTTCCTGACCCCTGTCTCTGTCCCCAATGGGAGTTGGGGTCCGCATCCCAAACCTGGAGTTGGTACATCTCAGTTTAATCCTGGGAAAACTCAGAAAAAGTTTCCTATTGCTGGCTCAGATTGGCTGGTGGTTGGAAGAAGCACACATACGCATATTCATGCACATGTACATACACACACTAATGGATGCACAGAGGGAGCAATAGTGTAAGGGCACTTCCTATATCAGTCAAATCCACTTCCTGGTGCTCACCAGGCCCACCCAGTGCAGGGATGTATGGTCCTAGTGCCCAAAGTCCTTTCCTGGGTGAAGCCACCCTACACACCAGCAGGAGAGTCATTCTATCTCCATTTATGGATGAGAAAATTAAGGCCCAGAAAGATGAAAGCTTGCCTGGGTCATACAGACCAGAAGTGGTAGAGCCCAGGATGGAACCTGGGTTTATCACCCCAAAGCTGAGATGCTCACCAGCATGTAGTGCAGGCCCTACCTGCAGTCTCTACCCTCGGACTCCTTCAGCTGCACCCAGAGTTAAGTGCCTGGCTCAGTGCCTGCCTCCTGCTCCCTTCATGTTCCCCACTCTGCCCCACTGCATGAAGCAGGAAATGTTCTCAGAGAGAGGAGGTTGAGGATTTCAGAAACTGGAGGCTGGGTAGACCCCAGGGGCTACACTTGCTTCTTTTTTTTTTTTTTTTTTGGTACCGGGGATTGAACTCAGGTCCTTGCGCTTGCACAGCAGGCGGCGAAACCACTGAGCTAAATCCCCAGCCCTACACTTGCTTCTTGAGATATGGTTGTCCAAAACTTCTAGTGATGGAGAACCATCACCACCTCAACCAACTTGGAAGAGCTCAGACTTTGGAGTCAGGCAGACTAGAATCAAAAACTACAGCTCCTTGGGGCATCATTTCCCCATCTGTACAACAGGAATGACCGTTTGGACCGGGAGAGACCTGCGGGCCAGTGCTTGGCTTGAGCCTGGCACATCCCAGGTCCTTGCAGTCACCACAGTGCCCCCTCTCAGGGGTTGGTGGGGCCCTGGGTCAAGCCTGTCTGACCTTTAGGGTGTAGAGGTTGGGAATCCTGCTCCCCCAGAGTCCTCCTGGGTTTGGCTCTGTGGTTTCCGTCATTCAGAGAACAAAGAGCAAAGAAGAGGAAGAGGAAGGACAAGGGAAAAGTAAAAGATGGCTCTGAGGAGAATGGCTTAGCACCTCGGAAGGTGGAGGCTAAGGTCCTAGGCTGGGATTCAGGGCCGAGAGGGAGGGCACTGGCTCCGGTAGTCCTTAGCCCTTCTGGATGCAGACAGGGGCTGGCCTGAAAGGCCTGTTGCAGAGAGCAGGTGACGGGGCTTCTCCCTGCCCCACCCTCTTACTGAGTCCTCTGGAAGAAAACTGAGTGTGAAGTTGCTTGGGATCCACCCAGGATTGGGCTGGAAAATGGGTTTATCCAAGTTCCTGGCGAACTTCACTTCAGTTCCAAGATCTGAGGACTGAAGAGAATGAATCCCCCTTACAGGGTCCCTCAGAGGTTTAAGGGCCAGCATGAATGTGCAGAGAGCACCTCGCCTGCAGCACCTTGAGGAGGCACCTGAGGGGTGAGGCCCTGGCCACCACCTCCTCCATGCAGGGTCCCCATCTCCCCATCTGTTGTGTAGAGGTTATGGGGGGCATGGTGGCTCCAGGCCCCAGACTCCCTGACTGTCAGCTTCCACAAAGCAAAAGAAGAGTAGGAGCTTACCAGGTCACACAGAGGGGAGGCGCATGCTCACAGCCTCTCTTACACAGACCTGCTTCACACTGTATACTAATGGACACCCTTGTGCTCACACAGACATCTTATACACTCACACACTTCACACACCTGCACACACTCATATTCTCACGCATCACAAGTGTGCTCACACGCTTGGTGCCCAGGGGAGAATCAGTGGCCTGAGCCGAGGTCACATCCACATGCACACTCCGAAAGACACCCAACCTGGAGTCAGCCCAGCTGCGGGCTCTTGGGCTGGACACAGCAGTAGTTTTATAACTGATAGGTCACTGTGCTCAGATGCAAATAACCCTTCCTCATGGGCAGCCACATTAAACCTCATATTTGTTTCTGGGATTTACTTCTCCACAGTCCAGGCTGTGTTCAGGTGCTATTTAACAATGATGTGAAAGGCCTGCGAGAGGTTCAGGCAACTTTCCACACACCGAGGAGCTGCTGAGGGAACATCAGGGTACTTGGTGGAGTCAGGGTTGTCTCAGGAGCTTCACTTGACAATCCCAGGGGGCAGCTGACCCTGACCCGTGATGACTGGACCACCGCCCCTTGGAAAGGAGCCCACAAACCCACACCCACCCTTGTGCAGAATTGTGTGCCTTACATTCACACTCACATTCTGGAGACACATACCACAATTAATGCACACTCACACAGATACACAGACAGGCTCACACATTCAGTGTCAACCCTGACACATATTTTATGGACATGCGTTGCACACACAGACATTCCCATATGTTCTGACACACCCAAACAACATACTTATTTGCATCTAGCTGCAGTGTACAACCTCATTAACTCTTGCAGACACATACACACGCTTAAGTACACAAACACTTGCCAACATTGCCACTTTACGATGCTTGCTTAGCAATGCACCCTGCTCCCTCAAGGCTCATAAATGCCAAGGCCCCTGGCGTGTTTACAGGTGGCTGAGGAGTAAACAGCCCCAGAGGAGAGGATGAAGCATGCCTGGGAAGTGGAGGCCCAGAGAGAGGAAGGAACTGCCTGGCCAGTGGGGCAATAATGCAGGTGCCCAGGATCACAGGAGGGAGGCTGGGGTGCTGGGGGGTGTCCCAGAGCTATGCTCACCACTGCTGGCCAGGATGGCGATGGCCAAGAACTTCTTCACACCCACGCTGGACCTGAGAGAGGAAACTGAGTCTGAGTCTTCACCCTGCACCATCCTGCAGTTCTGGGCCCCACCACTGGCATCACCCGGGCTGCTCCTCAATGCTCCAGTAGCTGCCACCCAGCTCTGTGATTAACACTTCACCTGCCCACCCTGAAGGATCACACCAGGAAGCGCCGAGACCAGCTTCCCTCCACCCAACAGCTTCCAAGCCAGGGAGCTACTGTCTCAGATCAGAACCCCTCCCCTTCATACTCTGGGGAGTTCTGGGACCCGGAGTCATGTGACCTATCCTGGAAGCTGGGTCTTGAACCCAGAGCCAAAAGACCTGGGTTCCTGGATTCTAGTGTTGGCTCTGCTTCCAAAATGTTGAGTGACCACAGACAGATCCTTTAGCCTTTCTGGGCCTCAAGTGTTTGCAGGATTCAAGGTCCCCAAGGCCCTTCTAGGGCTGAAAATGCAATGACATTCATCAACCCAGCACTCACAGACTCAGAGCTCTCCTTTCAGGAGAAATGGACCCTAGGACCCGGCACAACCCCCGATCCCTGGCCCTCTCCATCCTGGGGCAACAGGCACCTACCTGGAGTGTCTTAATGGAGAAGAGGCCCCAAGGCTTGGGTCCTTCCACCCAGAGGACCATCTAACCAGCACCTTCTTCCTGAACCCTTTGGGGCTGGCCTGCACCCCATCTGCCATGTTCTGGGTTCCGGGAGGCCAGTGACATAGGTCTTGAAATCTCCTTGACGTGCTCCGGAGGTTCTGGGGAGTGGGCCCCAGCTTCACACTGCCATGCACACTGGCAGGGTAGGGCTGGGGCAATGCCCCTGGGCAGGAGGCAGGTGACAGATGCCCTAGAAAAAGCAGGCTCCGCCTCCTCCCTCCCACTGTCCTGCCCTGCCCACAGTCCCCGCCTCCAATGTGCGCTCACTTGCCCTGCTGAGGGGTTTAGGTACCTGTCAAGGAGTTGCCTTCTCTTGCTTGGTGTCTGATAGGAAATGAGCCCAGAGGCCTCTCTATCTCCATCTGAAGATGCTAAAGAAAAAGTTCTTCAGTGACACTTGTCAAAGCACAGTAGAGTGGAATTTATTCAAGGGTGGGACATTTATTCAAGGGTGTAGGAACCACAGCAATGGAGTCTTATGGTGAGGAGGAGAAACTGGACTCAAGCCCGAATACAGAGGGGAAAAGGGGAGTTTCTAGCTAAGGAGTAGGGTGGGGGTTGATGAATGGAAAATTACCAAGAAGGAACCCAAGGGATGAGGGAGTTCTTACTAAACTGACCTAACAGGCTTATAGCTGAAGGGGCTGGAGAGATCAGACACCACCCAGAGGGTGGTGGAGGCTAAGGACCTGATCAGACACCAGGGGTAATCAAACAGATATGGAGGACTGAGATTCTGGCTAAACTAACTCAGAATGATCCTTGCTATAACGGGATGATTTAGAGAGATGGAAGTCCAGGCAAGTAGACCCAGTTGAAGAGAGTTCAGAGGGGTCTGAGTTGAATCTGGTCAAGGAGAAGACTTTTGTCAGAGGGGCCCATGTACGTCTGTCTGGAAGAGAGTTAGTACAAAATTTGTAGCAGGCTCCCTATTCACATCTGGAAGGGGGCTATACTCCTCTGGAAGCAGGTCGGTGTCCATGTCCACCCAGGCTAAGACTAGAGGGGCCTGGGCACATGCTTCTATCAGGAAGTGCTCCCAGCTCACATCCGGAAGGGCAATCCTGCTTGGCCTGGCTGACCTGCTGAGTGCAGACCTCCTTTCTGTGCTTTCCAGGAGGCAGAGTAGCATCCTTGTGCTGCCTTCCCTCCACCCACCCTGGAGCTGTCACAACCAGAAATGTCCCTCAACATTTGAATGGGAGGCACCATTGCCTCTGGTTGAAGGCCAGATACACTCAAGAGTCAGCACAAATTGGTTCTTGCTTGGAAATGAGGTGTGCATGGAAGGAGTGGGCAGAGGAGAATAAAGGGGGATCCTGAGCTCCAGGAGCCACTCCATCAGACTGAGAAGTCATGCTGATGGGGCTCCCATCCCTAGCATCCCCAGTTTCTGGTGCAGACCTTGGCAGGAGTCTTCCTTCCTTGTTCTCTGTGTCCTCAGCTGTGCAATGAGTATACAGGCCTCAAGAGTAAGGACTGTCCTAGCAGATGTCAGGCTCCCTGTAGCCATGGTGCACATGGCTGGTGCTCAGTTTTAGAGACCTGTTCGTTACAAAGTAGAAGCCTTCTCTCCAGTACTGAGGTGAATTGGGTGGGTGGGATGGGAGAGAAACTGACACTCCAATAATGTCTCCCTTGTACAGTGATCTTTATCTCTTAGTGGCCCCCAACATGCTGACAAGGGACAGAAAGGAGCCTCCTGGAACTTCCTTTCCTGCTCGCAGCTTTGCCAACCTCCTCTTCTGGTGTCGCAATCCAATTGGCCCATCTCATGCAGCATTCGTTCTCCCTCCCCCAGCCCCCACCTTTGCTCTGCCCAGTTCCTCTCCAAGGAGCCAGGCCCCTCCTTCCCAGGAAGTTATCCTGCAAAAACTTCACTGCATCCACTCACACATCCTTACATGGGAAGGTGTTAATTTGCACTTGCTTCGCATTCCTTTGCAGACATCCATACATGTTTTGGTTTGTGGATCTTGACACTTCCCTCCAACTGTGGCTCCTCGAGAGCTGAGGCCCTATTTCCTCCAAAAGCCCTGGGATTCCCCATGCAACAGGACTGGGAGTGGCAGGACCGCTCCCTGCCATCACGTGTCTGCACAAAGGGGGGCTTTTATTTTTGCTTGGATGATACAAGCATGCCCCAAAGAAGGAAGAATGAAGGGCCTGTGCAGTCCGCAAACTAAGATACGGCCTCCAACCTACAGGTAGCAGAGAGCCACAGAGATTTATGTTAAGGATGTGAAGGCCAGGAGCCCTGACAGCCTGTGAGCAGCACCACTGCCACTTTGTCCTCTGGAATTCCCATTGCAGGCACTGGTTGGGCCCGTCTTTAGAGAGGCCTGATCCTCCAGGCGAAGGATGAGCTCTTCCGCTCCCTGCCCTCCTCCTGCAGAGTGTAGTGTGCTCAGTAATGAAGTCAATAATAAACTGGTCAACCCAGAAATGCCACTCCTGGGACTATAAACCAAGATACAAACTTAAGTTGTCCCCAGAGACAGATGAGAAAGGATACTGACTGGGGTACTTTTATGAGGGACCCCCCCACCAATCAGAAGCAATTTAAATGAGGAGATTTGTTAAGCAAATTATTAAACATTTGTCTACAATTATATTCTTATAGAATATTTGATGATATGACAAAAACCTACCCATGTATATACAGGGTAATAGCAATTGTTTCCAAACAGAGGGGATTGGTGTATACCTCTAAACAAGTCATTTGGAAGGATTTATACAATGTATTAGTAAACGGTCATGTGTAGACAGTCAGATGACTTGTGATTTTTATTTTCTTATTTTTAATTTTTGTATGAATATGAACATAGGAATATATTCAACAACTAAGATAAAATGGTCAGTTTCCTTAAAAGACAAACTCACACAACTGGAAATAGTCTTACAGCTATAGAGTATATAGTTTAAACCTTTCCATAAACAAACACCAGGTCCAGATGATTTTACTAGTGAATTCGACCAAATACTTAAGAAAGAAATAATGCTAATTGTATTAATTAAGTATAGGGAGGAATGGAGGGGTTGAAAGGAGGGCTGGGCAAGGGTGAAAAATAAGAACTAAGAGAGATTATGTAAAGGTGCAAATTTCCAATGATGATTGTCATTATGTTGTATACCTAAAATGTACCAATGATTAGAATGAATAATCGATAATGCACAATAGGAAGAAAAGGTCCAAAAGAGTAGGGGTAGTGGGAGGGGCAGGGGAAAGGAAAGAAGGGAAAGGAAAACTGATGAGAAATGGAAAAAATGGAAATAAAGTCTTTGTAAATAGGGAAGGGTGGAGGGGGTGAAGGGAGGGCTAGGAATGGGGAAAAAATAAGAACCAAGATGCATTATGTAAAGGTACAATTCCCAATGAGAAATGTAATTGTGTTGTATACCTACAACGTACCAATAAAGAATTTAAAAAAAAAAAAAAAAAAAGAGAGAGAGAGAGAATGCCACGGGAAATACCACAGCCTGGGGCTTAAACAGCAATTTTCTCATAACTTTGGAGGTTGGAAGTCCAAGATCAAGGCGTTGGTGGGGCTGGTTTCATTTTGAGGTCTCTCTCCTTGGCTCATGGAGGGCACCCTTTTCATGGTGTCCTCACATGGTCCTTCCTCTATGCAAGCTCATCTCTTAGGTCTCTTTAGATCTTCAAGTTCCCTCTTTTCATAAGTACATCAGTCGTGTGCACTGCTTGGCTTCTGTGTTCATGGAAAATGGAAAGGATTAGGAGTCACTCTCATTTTAATATAATCACCTCTTTAAAGGCCCTGTCTCCTAGCATGGTCACATTCTGAGGCACTGGGTACTAGGACTTCAATACATGAAGTCTGAGAGCACACAGTTTAGCTCATAGCATTAATTATACACAAATCCCTCCAGAAATTTTAGGTGGATCAAGTGCTTTCCAACTCACTCTAGTAAGCCACCATTATTTTGATACCAATGCTGGATTAAGACATTATAAGAAAATATATCTACAGACTAATATCCCTCATGAACATAGGTACAAAAATTCTTAACTAAAAGTTGACAAACAGAATCTAACAATATGTAAGTGGGAAAATATACTATGACCAAGCTGAGTTGTTTTTTTTTTTTTTGAGACAGGGTCTTACCCTGTAGCCCAGACTGGCCTTGAACTTGTGACGATCTTCCTGTCTCACTCTCCCAAGTGCTGGGATTATAGGCCTGCACCGCAACATCTGGTCCAAGTTAAGTTTTATCCCAGGAATAAAAGGATGATTTTACATTAAAAATCAGTCAATGTAATTACAATGTTAACAGACTAAAAAAAAGAAAAAAGTATGATCTCCTCAATAAATCAACAAAACAACACCAACCAACAAACACCATTTGATGAAATCCAACATTCATTTCTGATCAAAAGTTGTCCACAGACAGAAGGGAACTTCTTTCATTTAAAAGAGGGCATCTCTAGTAAATTGACAGCTAACTTCATGCTTGATGGTAAAAAACTGAAAGCTTTCTCCCCAAGATTAGGAAAAGACAAAGATATGTACCCCCTCTACTTCTATCCAACATTTTTACTAATGGCTTTAGTTAGTGCAATAGGTAAGAAAAGAAATAAGGCATGAAAAAAAGGACATTCAAATCAGAAAGGAAGAAGTAAGAGCATCTCTATTGACACATCTCTATTGACATCTCTATCGATGGCATAGTAGTCCATGTAAAAAATCATGTAGGCTCTTTCTGCTCTCTGACCAACACCGTCATGAGTTGGTACATTCCTGGGAAGGGCCTGTCCCAGATGGCTCTGCCCTATCACATCAGTGTCCCCACCTGGCTGAAATTGACATCTGATGACAGGAGATAGAAAATTTATAAACTTGCCAATAAAGGCCTGACTCCTTCACAAATCAGTGTGCTCCTGAGGAATTCATATGGTATTGCACAAGTGTTTGGGGATGGGTGATGTAAGCTTGAGAATGCATTAAGTCCAAAGGGCTTGCTCCTGACCTTCCTGAGGATCATCATCATTCAGCTAAGAAGGCAGTTGTCTATA